GTGAAAAGTCCTATAGCTATCAGATAGGTCCATTTGGTCCATAGTGTAGATTAGCTCTGTTGTTTCTTTGTCAATTTTCTATCTAGTTGATCTGTCCATTGATGAGTATGGAGTGTTGAAGACCCTCATTACTATTAGAGTCGAAGTCTCCCTTTAGATCCATTAATGTTTGTTTTAAATAGCCAGGTGCCCTTGTGTTGGGTGCATGCACATTTATTACATACATATCTTCCTTTTGAATTGAACTCTTTGTCATTATATAGCGCCCTTCTTTGTCTCTTTTAACAGTTATTGTGTTAATGTATAATTTTTCTGATATTAGGATAGCTATACCTGCTTGCTTTTACTTTCTGTTAGCATGGAATACCTTTATCCATACTTTTAGTTTCAGTCTGCTTGAATATTTATTGGTAAGTTGTGTTTCTTGTAGGCAGCAAATAGAAAATAGATGGGTCTTTTTCAAAAAAATTTCTTGAATTCTATTCCTGGCATTTCTTCAATCTCTTCATCTTCACATTCTAATATTGAAATGTTGTGTTCCTTTGGGGTCATGGTGTCTTGCTTAATCTTGTTTCTTGGATTTTTGTGTTTGTATTTAGGCATTTGTGGAGTTGATTTTTATTGTTTCTTCCTCTGATGGCTTTTATCTTTGAGCTATGTCTCTGTGGCTTAGTGGAATGTCTGCATTTTCATTGAATACCAAGAGGTGTGTGGTGGGTGTGGCCAGAGAACTCTGGTCAGTGCTCCAGGATGGGGCAAGTATGCAATGTAACACTCAAGTTGGTCATGGTAGATCTCAATACCCAGCTACACCCTGCACCTTCTCATGGAACCATTGAGTCCTCATGATCTCAGCACACATGGTTCCCACAGTCACTAGATTCAGAGACACCTCTCTGTCCTGCCAGCCTGTCCAGTTGACAGATAGGCAGATGTTCTCCAAGACAGCTCCACCTAGGTATCTTGATCCTAGGAGGCTGCAGGCACCACCCAGCGAGGCCCAAAATCAGTGGGGACTTTGGATTTTTCCCTCCAGTAGAATCTCTGAATCACACATATACACAAGAGCCACTGGCCAAGTGTGTTCCTTGCCCACCACTGCTGCCAGTACTGCTGAGAAGGCATCCTGTCTCAGCCAGTTGCTGTACTCACACACAAAGGTTTCCACAGCTGCTGCCCAAAACCAAAATGGTGCCTTCTCTTTGTCATCTAGGCAGCAGGTGCTGTTATGGGAAAGTTGGAGTGAGATAAACATGCCCCCTCTACTCCACTGGGTCTGTGGACAACCACTAGCAACTGCTAGCCCCCAAGGCTCAAGTATGGACTCACACCACACTTTCCCTCTGCCTGTATCACTGCAGCTTGCTACATTCCTGTCTCATTTCAATCTCTAAACTGTTAGCCTCTCTGGCTCTCATCAGCTGTAGTTGTGTCCATATTTGTGCTACATGTCTGCACCCACCATACAGGTTCACCATGTTCCTCTTCCTCTTGTAGGATTTCCAGTGCAGTTTTCTCTCCAATTCTCCCCTAAGAGTGTACTTCCTTCACTTTTTTTTTTTTAACTGTTTATCCTTAGCCTAGCACTGTATGTCATTCCTTAATCCACCATCTTGGAATCTCTCTTGGGTCTTGTCTTTTAATCTATTCAATCATCTTGTCTTTTAATCTATTCAATCAGCCTGTATTTTTAGTTGGAGAGTTTAGGCTACTTACATTCAAGGTTACTATTGCTAAGTAATGACTTGGCCCTACCTTTTTTTCTGTGAATATTTCTATTGTTTGCTTTGGCTTTTCTTTGTACTTTTATTAGAAGAATTTCTGCCTTCACATTATTTCATAATGATGACTATCTTCTGTGTTTCTGTGTGTAGTATATCCTTAAACATCTTTTGTAAGCCTGGACAAGTAATGACAAATTTTTTCAATTTCTCTTTGGTATGGAAGGTCTTTATTATTTCATGTTCATTCATAAATGAGAGCTTTACAGGGTACAGTATTCTCGGTTGACTTTTTTTTTTTTCCTCTTAAGACTTGGACTCTATCTGTTCTCTCCTAGATTATAGGGTTTTCTGATGAGAAGTCAATTGTGAGTCTAATTGGAGATCCTCTGAAAGTAATCTGGAATTTCTGTTGTCCACATTTTAGAATCTTTTCTTCATATTTTACTTTTGAAAGTTTCACTATAATGTGTCATGGCAAAGTTCTTTTCTGGTCATATCTATAAGGAGTTCTATGTGCCTTGTGTACTTGGATATCCCTTTCTCCAAATTAAGAAAGTTTTCTTTAATTATTTCACTAGGTCTTGTGATCCATTCTTTATTTCCACACCTCCACGAACTCCCAAGACCTGAATGTTGGATTGTTAGATGGTATCCAATAAATCCCCATAACTTTATTTAATTTTTCTAATTTCATCTTTTTCTTTTCTTCTTTTTTTTAGTCTCATTGAAAAATTTCCAAAGGTTGGTCTTCCAGCTTGGATAATCTTTCTTCTGCCTCACTATGTCTGTTCTTAGGAATTTCTACTGTATTATTTAGCTGACATATTGACTTTTTCATTTCTAGAATTTCAGTTTGATTTCTCTTCAAAATCTCAATTTCATGGGATAATTTTTCATCCATATCATATATGAATTTCTTTAGCTCATGAATTTGCTTCTCATTGCTTCTGAGTAATCCTATGATTAATCTTATGGATTCCATTTCAGGCATTTCATCAATATCTTCATCTTCACATTCTAAGATTGAAGTGTTGTTGTGTTCCTTTGAGGGAGTTATGTTGTCTTCTATATTCTTGTTTCTTAAATTTCTGCATTTATTTTTAGGCATTTGTGGAAATACGTGTTGGTTTTCTTCTCTAATGACTTACATCTTTGTAATATTCCTCTGTGGCTTAGCGGAGTGTCTGTTCTTTCAGTGAATACCCTGAGGCATGTGCTGGGTGTTGCCAGCGAACTCTGTTCAACTCTCCAGGGTGAGGTGACTGTCTAGGGTGACACCCAAATTGGGCATGGTGGATCTTCTCTTGTTAGCAGGAAGGAGGCCACCACTGTTGGCATAATCAAACTTCATGACCTCTCTTCCAAGGTGATCAAATCCTGAGTGTTAGCCTACAGTGGGTGCAATATTCATCCATGCTGCTGCATGAACTGCACAAAAGGTCTGTGCTATCTTCAATGTGAGCACATATCCCACTGCAATGACCTACGCCAGGCAATCAGGGAGCTCTGAGCGTGTGGAGCTGCACACAGTGATTTCCCAGATTCCCAGATATCCCCTGTGCCCTCTTGTGCGGTCACAGAGTTCCCATAGTCACAAGGTGCAGAGGATCCACCCCACCCCTCTAGTCTGACCCATCCGTGGGGAGGCAGAGATGTTCTCAGAGCCAGCTGCCTTTGTGAATGTTCAGCCTAGGAGCCTGTGATATGTTGAGAGGCTGGGGGCACTTCACAGTCCTATGTGGGTGCCCAGCCATCTGTCATTCCTTCCAGCCAGACTCAAAGTCAGTGTGGAATGTATCTTTTTTCTCTGGTAAAGTCCCTAGATCACACACATACACAAGATCTGACGGATGCAGCCCCTACTCATTTCACATTGATGCCTTCTCACTGCCAGTTACCAGGTATACACAAGAGCCTCTGCAGCTGGTACCAATGTCAGAATGGCTCCTTCTCCCTTCCCATTGCTGGGTGTGTACACTCGAACTACTGCCACTGCTACTGCTGTCAAGATGGCATCTTGTCCCTGTGAGTTGCTGGAGCACAAGAGCTGCTGCAGCTGCTGCTTACATCTTAAATGGTGCCTGCCCACTCTCAGCTGTTTGCTGGGTGCCAGTGTGGGAGGGGTGGGGAGAAACATGTCTTCACCCACCTTTTACTTTCTTTTTTTTGCTATCTTAGCAGGTATCCTGTCCCTCTTAGGGCTTCAGGGGCCAGACTCAAAGACTTTGTAGTCCACCAGGCTTTCCATCTGGCTATATCTCAAGTGGCATGGGCTGCTGCAGTCTGATCTCACTTCACACTCCAAAACTGGTTCTTTCTCTGTTTCTTGGCCCTGGGGTTGAGTGTTGTGTCCGTGCTTGTGCCACATGTCCTAACCTTCCATTCAGATCCACAACCTCCTACTTCCTTCTGTAGAATTTACATTGCAGTTTTCTTTCCAACTCTCCCCTGAGAATGTACTTCCTCCACTTTCTCTTTTTTTTTTAACTGTTTTCCCCCAGCCTAAAGCAGTATGCCCATTTCCTATTCTGCCATCTTGGAATCCCATCTAAAGGTCAATGTTAATGTATTTCTTCCTGCTTCCTGTAAAAAATGGGGAAAATCATTTAAAAATAATTCTGTTTAGGGAATACTGTGCTACACTAGGCTCTGGACGTGGAAGACTGGGTAGCTAAGACCTCATATCCACACCGGTTCACAATCCAGTGGGTCCTCAGGTACCTTTAATGTGACCTATCATTGGCAAGACTCAAACTGATGAAGTACATGTAGTATCCCACTGAGAGTTTCTCTTTACTGTGCTTTCTTCTGTCACAAGGATGCTGATATATAATATTCTGGAACTGAAAACTTGTTTAGCCACTATCAGAACTGAAACTATGCAATCCATTCAGTGATGATCTGGTAGAAATGGTACAATTTTTCCTCTAATATATGTTCCTCACAGGGATATATGTTGTTTGTAGAAATAATTTTTGTTACAGCAATGAGGTAACTCCATGATTATATTACTATAGCTGTGTTGAGTATAATTGCCAGTAGTTATTGAATGTATTTCTCATGTACTGTGAACTCTATATTCAACTTAATTAAATTGCACAAATACTCTTATACTCTATATAATCCCCATTTGATAGATGAGAAAATAGAGCCACGGGAAAATTGTGCAGCCTGTTCAAGGTCCCACAGCCAGTTAGTGGCTGGGCCAGGATGGACCAGGGCAAGATGAGTAGGGCATCTCCCTGACACTGGCCTTCTCACCTTCTCTGCCCTCAGGGTGAAGAAGCTGAAGGAGACCCTGGTTGCTGTGCAGCAGCTTGATAAGAACATGAGCAGCCTGAGGGCTTGGCTTGCTCACATCGAGTCAGAGCTGGCCAAGCCCATAGTCTACGATTCCTGCAACTCAGAAGAAATACAGAAAAAGATTAACGAGCAACAGGTATAACTTAGAACCTTCAACCTTAAAGTAGTAGGCCAAGGAATGTCTGCTTGTCCTTCTGCCTGGAATGCTGAACAGGATGGGTGAGGAAGGGAAGCTATGTTGAGATGGGTGTTGGAAGGAAATAGCTTTGAAGTCACTGCTGAGTTGACTAAAAAGATCCTAGGGTTAAGTGTCATTGGTTCACCAACCATTTCCGCCATTCCATGGTGGAAAGAAATTTGCATTGCCATAATGGGTCTAAAACAGTGCTAATAGATTTGTTCATCTGTGGGCCACTAGTCCACCCCTCTCCACTTAGAAAGAAGTCGCTTTTTTTTTTCTGTGTCTCATGCTTGGAGAAAAAATACAATGCATATTTAGAAATTTTAGAACATAAGATTTTTTTGTTGTTGTTGTTTTACAAAGAGGACCACATGGGCTGCAGACCATAATGTAATTTCAGCACCATGTGTTTAACAAAGCCATCAAATCTCACTGGAATGAGATGTGCAACCCGACAAAGCACAATAGGATGACACTAAACAATGCATTCGGATGAAATGTTTAGCTCCCACTCATTTTGTTTATTCTTAAAGTGTATCAGACTCCTGTTTCCAGTAAATATCATACATTCCCTATGACAAGTGTTTTACCCCATACCTTTAGATTGCTTTTGAAAATCCTATCCAGACTTATTTTTTCCACTATAGTTAGGCCATCATAGCCAAGCTGCTTAACTTAAAAATGCTGTAGAATGTATCTATTCAACTTACCTAACACACTTAATTTAAAAATCCTATGAAGTAGTTTATGTATGGACTTTATCTTAAATTCTGTTTAAGCCAATGAAAATAGGTGTTAAAACAGTTTTAAGTATTGGATATTTTTACATTAAAATTAATTGCATTGCTTTGAAAACTTGTTAGCAGAATATTTTTCAGTTTCTGTAAGATTCAAATTCTCTAACGGATGTTGACGTTGATTGAACTCTGGGAGTTGTGGTTGGCTTCCCATTCCCCAGATACTTCTAGAAGGTATGGGAATGAGGTGTACCAATGATCAAAGTTAAATTGCTAATGACAAGTATTGTAATTTAGCAAATGTATAAAAATCAAAATAGTATCTGGTTAAATATAGTAAATTTAAGATATGCATTTATAACCCTTCTTGCTACTAACACTCCAATAAATAATACTAAAAAGGCAAAAAATGTCCAAAGCCAACATGGCAAACAGAACAGAAACGAAAATGACAGAGTCAACAGGATTTTGGAAGCTAGCAAGCAGGTAGATGAGAGTGATGTCAGTAGCAGAATGGAAGGTGGGGAAAGTGGATTTGTGCTGCAGAGTTCCCAGGGTATCAGAATGCGGTGAGCAGGTACAGCTGAAGGTCGGGGCATTGTCAGCCTATACAATGAAAGCTTGTTTGAACATTTGGACAAGGGGTGGTTGAACTAGCAGATGCCTTGTAAGCTCAGATAGCAAGGACACTCTGCTTCTCTTAAAGCAAAGTAGACAGTTGTGCTCTGGAGAAAGCAAAATGGAGGGACTTTGGGCTTAAGGTCAGGAAACCATTGAGGCTTGAGTCACTGCCTTAAAAATGGGAAGTGAAGTACATGTCTTTATACGAAGTGCTGTACTCCCACCCCACAGTCCCAGTATGACTTCCACAGTGTCAGTTCTCATGCTTATACCCCAACTGAGAGACTGGAGTGGTATTCCTGTAGAAACTGGCCAGACGAGATAGCGATGTGTTAAGGGAACTCAACAAAAAGCCAGACTCCAGCCTAACTTCCCCATAGTAATGCCTCCTGGTTTGCATGCCCTAGAATCCATATACAGCAAGTAGTGGCTGATTTATTCTTAAATATGTGTGGATAGACAAAATAAACAACCACACCTCACAGAGATGAGAAATTATGCATTCATAAAAGAATAGCATGGCCATATTTTTTTAAAAGTAACTTTCAGAATTGAGACTCTCTCCCACAAAGCAAACCAAAGACATATATATGGTAATAGAATAGAAACATAATAAAATGAAAGGATTAATTCCAGGATTAATGCATTAATTGAAATTATTTCATAAAATTATTTCATAAAATAAAAAAGCTTAAAAATGAGGAATAAATTATCAAAGTAGTAATTTAAAAAACAAAAAAATCCCTAAATGAGAAACATATTTCCAGATCATAAAAGCCTGACAAATACCCAGAAAAATTTTACATGGAGAAAAAAACAACACTAGGCCACCGCATTGTAAATTAACAAGACCTGAGGAATTAAAAGAAGATCTTGAAGATTTCCAGGATGAAAGAAATTTCAGTTCTCCCCAAAATAGCCCTGAGAAAGAATAGCAAACTGCCTTCAACAAACTGGAAAATTATTTAAAATCTAGAACTTTATACCCTTCCATTAATACAGTGGTACTTTAAACTGTTAATGGAAAATACAATTTAATAAAAGATAAGTTTAGGGCTAATGTATGGCCTCACCGTGAAGACACTCAAATCCCTTACTGGAGTACCTGGGCTCATGGCTCAGCTCTGCTTTGGCTCCAGTTTTGTGTTAATGCACACCTAGGAAGCAAGTGCTTATTCAGATAGCTGGGTGTCTGTCCTCCATATGGCAGACCTGGACTGAGTTCCCAGTTCCTGCCTTTGGCCTGGTCCAGTCCTGCCCAAGCCATTGTGAGCATTTAAAGAGTGAACCAGTGTGTAGAAATCAGTCAAGCTTGCTCTCTCTCTCCTTTCATCTCCCTTTTCTTCCTTCCCTCCTTCTGACTCTCTGCCTCTCAAATAAAATATAATGAGATAAAAAGATCTTTTGGTGCAATAAATTTTTGAAATCCACACATGTGAGAATCTTCAAAAACTTCATGAAAAACTATGCATGGATTTAAATTTCTTTTTACACAAAAACAAACTTTTCCAAAAGATTTATTTTTTGATGGTGTTGGTGAGGGCAGACAAATCTTCAGTCTGCTGGTTCACTCCTCAAGTGTCCGAAACAGTTGGGGCCAAACCAGGCTGCAGTTAGCAGCCAGAGACTCCACCCACGTCTCCCACATGAGTGGCAAAGTCCCAAGTACTTAGGCCAATATCTGCTCCTTCCCAAGATGCATTAGCAGGAAGCTGAATTGCAAGCACAAGAGCATGGCCAAGTCTTAAACCAGGCTCTCCAATATAGGATGTAAGAGTTTCAGGTAGCAGCTTACCTGGTGCACAAACTTTTAATTTCATTTTCTGTGACATTTTTGAAGTACCCACATATATCAAAATTGTACCCCCCATTCACTCATTGCAGGAATCTAATGAAAGGTATGGTACATACTTATAAAGACTAAAGCCAGAGGAAAAAAGAATTTTCAAGTCAAGAGACAGTGAAAGGCTATTTGCAGGATGAGAGTGCTGATGACATCTTCACTGTAGCCCAGGGAACCAAAGGAGGAAGACTTCCAAAAGAGTCAAACCAGCTTCCCCGAGCAGCCTCCAACTAGAGAGATTTATCTGCTCTACAGGAAAGAGGCAAGAAGCAAGCAACACAGATTTGAGAGAGAGGGAGAGAATTAATTCCAGAAAAGCATAAAGTTACTTAAGAAAGAAATACACTATGATGATAGCATATTTTGTTGCCCAATGTGAAAAATACTAAAAAAGTACGGTCCTATAAACAATGATTAGTGCTCTAGCCATATTGTAGTGCTAATAACAGTCTCTGGAGGATGGTGGGCCATATAGTTCACTTCTTCTCTACAAAAATAAAATCAACAATGGCTAAAATTGAAAACTCAAGAAATAGGTACATAAACATGTTACTTGGAAATATAGATGTGAGTCCCAGAAGGAATTCTTGCTATAGGAGGAGGAGAGACGGTTGCTCCAGGGAAAGAGGGATCTGGGTGCCGGGTTGTTTCTGACTGTTAAGATATCCAAATATGCACATAGAGCTTTTTCATTCAGTTTTAAATTAAAGTTTTGAAAAGCTATGTACTGATGGCTAAATGTAAAGACATCCTGGGTTCAAATCCTGACCTTGCCACTTTCCCACATGGCCTGGGGCATTCCTTACTCATGGGATCCTGATCATCAGCTTATGGGCCACACAGTGGGACTGTAAAGTTTAAAGAATTGGACGTGCCTCATGTAATTTACTTTAATCATGATCATTTTACTGTAGTTTCCTTTGTAGAAAATGTTTAAGGTTCTCCAAAATTTATACCATTTAAGACCCATGTTATAAGAGCTAAATAGTAATCTGTCTCTAATAGGAGATTAATCCCCAACAGCCACTTAAATGGACAGATTAAATTGCAAGAAAACATTTTCCAATATTTTCCTATATAGAGTTCTGTGTGTTTCTCTTGTCAATATACATAATCCTTATAGACTTAATTGGACAAAACTATGTTTAAAGTGACTTTAGGAAAGAATTTGTCAAATTCCTTACTATATGTAAAAGGTTAATTTGACCAGTAGTGCAGTCTATTTAATTTATTCAGTTTATATTTCAGCATTGCTCACATAGCTGACATATTTCTAGTTCGGTTTTCTCATACTTTTGAACTTGCTGGATTTCATAAACGAGGAAGTGAAATATTTACCAAGACTTAGCCTAACATTTGTCAGCCAGTGATTACTGCTCAGCTTCTCCCATTGATTGCTGTGACCGTTGGATGAAGCATGTATGTTGCCCTGCAGGAGCTCCAGAGAGACATAGAAAAACACAGCACAGGGGTGGCCTCTGTCCTCAACCTGTGTGAAGTCCTACTGCACGACTGTGATGCCTGTGCCACTGACGCCGAGTGTGAATCCATCCAGCAGGCAACGCGAACCCTGGACCGGCGGTGGAGAAATATCTGTGCCACATCCATGGAAAGAAGGCTCAAGTGAGCTGGGATGTTCCAGCTGTCAGGGCAGAGGGAAGACCAGAAAGGAAAAAAATCACCCAGAGTATCCGTTGTGCACTGTTTCCATTTGGTTAAGATGTTCCAAAATAGCCTTGCTTCGCTAACTTGCCATTGCCTATATTTGGTTGTGAAAATAAGTACTGAGGGCACTTCAGAAAATTCATAAAAAATGAACTGAAAAAAGTCAGTTTCTCTTTTGGGGCAAAACATTTTGAAATCCATGAATTTTAGGGGTCTTCCAAGAGTTCATGGAAAATGTGTATTATGAAAAGACTATGAATCTTAAATGTTTTGCACCAAAATAAACTTTTTATTTTTCCACAAACCTTTTGAAGTACCCTTGCAAGTATAAAGGTAATATTTCAATAAACCCGGGCATGTTACAGCTGACATAACAGTTTAAATATAATCCAGAAAAGCTGTTGCCAAACAAGTACAACATTATAGAATTTGTGGCATGAAAAAATAGCATTTTTCAATTAAAAATAAATAATAAAAGAGACACATTGTCCTTAAGCTCTTTGACATTTAAGAGTGGTGAAATCTGATATGTTACAACATTATCATAATCAGTGAAAACATATGTTGTGCTCTCTGGCAAATGGTTCAAAGCTTGCTACTTGTCTTGCTGTCACAGGTTGAATTGTCAGAGTAAGATTGGTGTTGGACTTTTCAGACACAGTTTTATGTCGGGAATATTGAGCTGAGTGGACACAATAAATGTTGAATTTCTGAACTTCCTTCACATATGCAGGATAGTTCACATTAGTGACATTTAGTTTGATTTCAAACCTAGAGCTGCAGGACATGTTTTTTAAAAAAGCTGTTTCATTTTAGTTCCCACAGTTGTCTCTCTTTCCCTCAAATTTGGCTCAATGCACAGTTATTGTTTGGCACAACAGATGTTTGTTTGGGCACCCTTAATCCTAGTGCAGGCATCAGACAGGGCTCCACAGTGTAAACAGCCCTAAATAATCAGAATCCATTTCTTCATTTTGTGTCTCAGAATTGAAGAGACATGGCGACTGTGGCAGAAGTTTCTGGATGACTATTCTCGATTTGAAGATTGGCTGAAGACTTCAGAAAGGACAGCTGCATTCCCCAGCTCGTCGGGGGTGCTGTATACAGTTGCCAAGGAGGAACTGAAGAAGTTTGAGGTGATTTATCTTTCCAAATATTTAATCCTTAGTTTTCTATTAAAGTAGCCAGCTGGTAGTTGGTGTTCCAAGGCATACACTGTCCACCCACACGTCACGTGTTCTGACAGCTGGGTGATAACTTTGTGGCCACCTTTACTGTTAGTTCAGAAGCACACAGAGAAAGGAATGGGGAGAATTCCATTTTAATTTTGTCAAGAATTCCCAAAAAAGTACTAATAAGAGAAATCCTATTAGAAAACAAAAATCATTGTTCCCTCCAAAAAATCTCGACATTATTTTTTAATTCAAAATTTTTGCAATCAATCATCTTTACTCAAAAACATGATGGCTTTCCACACTCTAAAAATCTACCTTACAATTATTATATTTTCTTGATTTTTTAAAAACTAATTAGTAATATCTATTTCATCTACCTATAGAAATTTGCATGGGCTTCAAATTTTTTGCACCACAGTGTATGTATCTTTTAATTAAACTTTTCTCTACCTTTCGAAGTACCTTCGTGTATGTTAGCGCACACACACACATATTTATTCATTGATAAAATAGATTTGACTCCAGAAATGAATGAAACATTTTCATCAAAATCCATTTCTGTGTATACAATGTAGAGTCGTGCCATTCTTGATTCACCAGGTCTTTTCAAGTACATAGTGGTGATAACAGTGCAATCGAAATCATAAAGCGACAAATCATTCAATAATTGGTTCCAGTTCCTTGCCTGTTTGCAGTCTTGTGTCTGCTTTGTCACTGTGATGTGATGAAACTAACTTCTCAACTGCCTTTGATTTTCACATGGGTCCTGATATGGTGTAGGGTTGGCCAGTTTTAAGTCAGAAGTTTCTTTTTAATTCCCACTGATAGACAGATGTGTGCTCGGGAAACAGTTCAGATGCTGTCCCGATCACTCTGAGCTGCTGATTCTGCCTCTTGTTCCTCACTATGTTTAGAAATAAGACAAAAATCTGTGTTCTCCTACCTTCTTTTCTACCTTGCAATACAGATTAACCAGGCATTTAATGAGGCCTGTTATGGGAAATACAAAGTTGATTTTTTCTGTTCTTGTGATGTTTCAAATTTAAGAATCATAGGCAGATAATTAATAAAACTATAATAATGTTCAAATACTAGGTGAGTTATCCTGATGTGTGAATGGATTTATACCTAATTACACCACTAAATTCCAGAAAAAATATTCGAAATAAGATGTTTTCCCTCAGAAAACGTGGATTGTAAATCTATAATCAACTTTGCAGTAGGTTTCCGGTCATCTCAATGTGAACAAGTGCTAGTGAAGCATTGTTGTACTGCATCTTATACTCAGCTTTGTAAAGATTAAACCTTTTATAATTGGCTCATTCCAGAAAGAGGATTATGCAAGGATTTTCTTGAAGCTATTTTAGACTATCAGATTTTGTAGCAAAAATTAGACGTTGGCGTTAGCTTTATAATGATTGCTTCTATCATTTTCCATTAATATTGCAGTGTTTTTTTTTAAGAGACAGATAGATCACAGAAACCACATTTTGCTTGGAGACAGTCCTTAGCCTGCTGAAAGGCAGTGATATACAGGATAGGGTGTGCTGGGTGACTGCACTGGGTGCAAACACATGCAGTGACTTCTAGTAGTGGCTAAAACTGAACTTGCCCTTACAGCTTTCTTTGCTGGGGAAATATAGAAGATAGGACTTAGAGTTTTATAGAGTAGAAGATAGCATGGAAGCTCTTGAAGCAACTCTGAAAGGAAAGTATTTACAAGGCAGAAATGTTGTTAAGCTAAGAAAAATAGAATTTGGAGATTTAGATGAGTATGGTTCAATTAATTCATTATAAAAATGTTTGGCCTAAAGCCAGGATAAAAATCAGCCATAAATCAAAAAAATACTTTTTTGGGGAAAAGGGCTTAATTTTATTTTGATTGAGTGACTCTTCTGCTAGGGCTATTCCATATTCTAGAAACAAAGCAGAGTGTTTTACCCTCAGAATCTCCAGGCTGAATTTAAAGTGTCCTGGGAAGTAAATAGCTGAGGTAGGCCTCAGGGCAAGTGAGTGAGTCTCCATTTGGAATGCCTGCATCCCAGACCAGAGTTCCTGGGCTCAAGTGTAGGGTCCACTTCTGATTGCAGCTTCCTGCTAATGCATACCCTTTAGAAAGCAGTAGATGATGACTCAACTTCTTGGATCCCTGCTACCCATGTGAAAGACCCAGACTGAATTTCTGGGTCCTGGCTTTGTCCTGATCCAGCCTTGACTGCTATAGGCATTTGGAAAGTGAACCGATGGATGGATGGATAGATCTCTCTCTCTTTCTCTCCCTCCCTGCCCCCCCCGCCCAGAGTAAATAGCCACTATCATGGATGGTGGTATACTGGCTCCACCAGATTTTCTAAAAAGTGGAATTAACTCATAGGAAAAACAAAAAAGAAGGGATCACGTTCCAAATTTTATTTAAATGTGAAATTACTTATATTTTACTAAATTGTTTTTCCTTTTTTTAAAGATGTATTTTATTCTTATTTGAAATACAGTTACAGAGAGAGAGAGAGAGAGAAAAGATCAATTGATCAATCTTCCATCTGCTGGTTCACTCCCCAGATAGCCACAACCATCAGGGCTGCACCAGACTGAAGCCAAGAGCCAGGAGCTTCAGCTAGTTCTCCCACGCAGGTGCAGGGACTCAAGCACTTGGGCCATCTTCCATTGCTTTCCCAGGCACATTAGCAGGGAGCTAGATTGGAAATGGAGCAGCTGGGACATGAACCAGCGCCCGTATGGGCTGTGGCATTGCAGCAGAAGTTTTACTCATGATGCCACAATTCTGGCCCCTAAATTGTTTTTCTTAAAAGTTAATAATAGCTTGCATTTAGAGAGCCTTCTGCAAAAGGGAATTATATATTTTTTTCTATAGACGCAAGAATTGAGGCAATTCCTAGATTTTCAGATTAAATATTTTACAAGAAGAAATTCTATTGTAGATATGTTTGTCAGTGTTGAGATGAGTTATATTGAACATTTTTAACTCACATTTTAACACACAATCTTATAAAGTTTATGAATGAACAGTAGTCCTCAGGATGTTCATTATTTTAAAGGGTATGTGTATATAAAAGTGCTTCAAAAAGGTCATGGACAAATATAATTACAAAAATAGGTATTTTGTTGCAAACAATTTTTGAAATCCATGTATACAAGTGGTCTTCAAAAAGGTGACGGTAACTACATATTGTGAATAAAACATGCATGGATTTCAAGTTTTTATACCAAAATAAACTTATCTTTTAATTTGATTTTCCATGAATTTTTGGAGTACTCATATATGTGTGTGTATACATATCACTTGTATAAGAATATATTCATGTGCATATGTGTATCTATTTACTATTCCCCACTTTCCCATTTTTTTTAATTGATCTGCTCACTCTCTTCAGTCTACACTGATGAAATCGTGTTGCTTTCATTAGAGGAAGTACAATGTTCTTAGAAACTGTTCTGTCCTCTCAGCACCACATTCTCGCACTGCCAGTGCAGTGGGAGCCGTCTCTCGGGGAAGCTCACAAAGCTGGTGCCCTGACTTGCTTCTCGCTGCTCGTAGGCTTTCCAGCGCCAGGTCCACGAAAACCTGACCCAGCTGGAGCTGATCAACAAGCAGTACCGCCGCCTGGCCAGGGAGAATCGCACCGATTCCGAGTGCAGCTTGAAACAGAGGGTCCACGAGGGCAACCAGCGCTGGGACAACCTGCAGAAGCGCGTCGCCTCCATCTTGCGCAGACTCAAGGTTCCTGCTCCGTCTCATCCGCAGTTTAGAGGCCCAGAGACAGGACTGGCCATGTGAACGCTGTGTGGAGACGCAGTCTCAGTGATTGTGTGGACAGGGAGGGCAGGCGGGTGACGCCTGGGGCTGCACATCCCCACTGCTTGTTGAGACAATGGCTTTCCCAAAGGGGCCTGGGGCGGGCTGCGCCATCTCAGTATGTTTCTGTGTTCTTTCATATTTTTATTGTTTCTCCCCACACCCAGCATTTCATTGGCCAGCGTGAGGAGTTTGAGACTGCCCGGGAAAACATTCTGGTCTGGCTAACAGAGATGGATCTGCAACTCACTAATATTGAGCATTTTTCTGAGTGTGATGTTCAAGCTAAAATAAAGCAACTGAAGGTAATGGATTATATGTTTTTTTTAATGTGTCAATGTGAAGAAAGTCTAAAACAGAAATGATTTATAGATCCTTTTGGGGAAAAACACAGTGAAGGCTGCTGTTTCAACTAAGAAAAATTAGTTCTTTGTTGAAAAAATAAATTCAGAAAACATAAAAACTATCGGAAAATACAGAGCACCACCCAGATACAACTACCAATAGTGTGCATACTTTGGTTTTTAACTTACTGCCAAGATTGTAGGGATCTTCTTTAATGGTGTTTGCTTTGCTTCTGAGTTGCTTTAAGCACCTTCACATAGTTTGACCTCCATCTACCAAGCTGTATACCTCTCTGATGTTGGAATTTTGTTCCACCTATTCTACGTTCTTGGATGTCAAGTTCATTCTAAATGCAGTTTTTACTATATAATGCAGACACACTGACTAGCTAGAATTTGAATAGGAGGGACATACATTAGACATAGGGGATTTCCTAAAGGGAATGTTTAATAAATTGAAAATTTGCAAAGCAGCTTGTGAATTTTTTTTCCGCAATAGATAGACACATTTCTTAAAAGTATGGTCATTTTGCCTATAATCTTTTGAGTATTGTAATAAAATGAGGAAGTTACCCTTTTTTCTTTAAGATTTATTTTATATTTTATATATTTATTTTATAACTTGAAAGGCAGAGTTAAGGGGGAGGGGGGACAGAGAGATTTTCCATTCATTGGTTCACTCCCCAAATGGCCACAATGGCCAGGCTAGGCCAGATCAAAGCCAGGAGTTGGGAGCTCCTTCCGCATCTCCCACTTGGGAGCAGGGGCCCAAGCACTTGGACCACCATCCACCCTTTCCCAGGCACACAGGCAGGGAGCTTGATTGGAAGTGAAGCAGCTGGAACATGAACTGGCAACTATTTGGTATGCCAGCATCGCAGGTGGTAGCTTTATCTAGTATGTAACAATGCCAGCCCCCAAGGAAATTACCCTTAATCATAGATTCTGGGATGGAAGGAATCGTAACTTGTAAACTTTGCTATTCTTTCCAAATGTTCTGCCCTACCTCCTTCTACAAGACATCTTGTAGGCAAATTGATGGTAGAAATTTTCTGCCATACAATTTAACTAAGTGGTAGTTGAGTCTTCCCCATTGGGACTCTGCTAAGATCATGGAAATTACCACCACCTTCCCTGTTCCTCTGGTGGTCACTTTCACGGCTGGATAATTTTCATGCTTCCAGAGTTAAATTTTGTATTGAATTAAAATTTACTCCCCAAAATGTCTCCAGTGGTTGAACTCTTATGAACCAGAAAGAAGGAGTCTAAAACTTCCCAGCACCCCTTGTTTGGCACATTGCTGTAACTTTACCTACTCACATCTGAGAAGAATTTGTGGCATTGTCTTATGGTTGCTTTTTCCTACTCCTGTCTGATGCATGATCAGGACAACCAAAATCAAAATATTCAGAATATTTCTCTAAAATGCCATGTTTACTTCTCGGGCAGTGTTTTGACTGCCATTGCTTTCCTCCTGGATGCCCTGTCTGTGTTGCTGACTCAATGATGAGTCTGAGTTATTCTCTACTCAACATGTCCATGGTGGTACATTTTATTACCAAGGGCTCTTTCCTGCCTGTGGAATTCTAATGCTTCTTTCTCTGACTTCTGTTCTGGCTTCAAATTTCTATGCTTTACTTTATAGGGTAACAGTCTCTTGGCTTGTCACTGTGTATGGTAAATCAAGTATCTGCCCCCTGCACAGTCTAAGAAATGCATATCTTATTATTTTATATTAATGTGAGCAATAAAAAAATTACATGAGACTTGTGCTCCCTAGGCCTTCCAGCAGGAAATTTCACTGAACCACAATAAGATTGAGCAGATCATTTCCCAAGGAGAGCAGCTGATGGAAAAGAGTGAGCCCTTGGATGCAGCAATCATTGAGGAAGAGCTCGATGACTTGAAGCGGTACTGCCAAGAGGTCTTCGGGCGTGTGGAGAGATACCATAAGAAACTGATCCGCCTGCCTGTGCGTAACATGTATTGTTTTCATTGCTGTTGTATCTAAAGAGAATGACTTTTGTGGGATTAGGTAGTATTGTATACTTGGTAAGAGCCCGAACCCTGGAGCCATAATGCCTGGGTTCAATCCTGGCTTTCGCATGTGTTGGCTTTGTAAACAAGTTGGTTTCCATTTATTTCCTTAGTTTCCTCAACTGAAAACTGGTTTAACAACAATAATTACCTTGCAGAAAGAATCATTTTGAACCCAGGATGAGTTGAGATATATATGTATACGTACACATAGAGTTACAATTATTTAGAAGAATGTATAGCACCAATTTTATATGGTAGACAACAGAACCTCTAGAAGCAATAAGAAGGTGAAAATGGGCAATGTAGACAGTTGCTCAATTGATGCAGTTATAGTGAGGTGGTTTTTTTCTGTCATTTTCCTTGTTATCATAATCACATCTCCGCTGTTAATACAATATTTAGGTTCTGCTGTGATTAAATATATTTTATATCTTGGATATAATGTGAAAAGGACAACCTAAGATTTTATTAGTCATTTCTTTTTGCCCTTTGTGTGTGCCATTCTGTGCCTATTGTGCTCAGGCATGGTGCTAGGTTGCCTTTATTGATATCACTTCATTGAATCGTCTATCAGTTCCTTGAAGTAGGTTTTAATATAGTTCCTACTTTACCAATAATGAAACTAAGGCTTACAGAGATTGATACACAGACATTTTTGGTAAGGTTAGAAGGCTCTTCCTGATGTGTTACTAGGGAATTTAAATGGATCCCCAGGTGGTAGGCAGTGCCCAGGTGGGCTTGATCGTGGATGTTTGCTGAAAGCTGGGACCTGAGTGGTGGGACCAGCCAAGCCCTGCAATCACTGAGCTGGCCTGACTTCCCTTCCAGCTACCAGAGGATGAGCTCGACCTCTCTGACCGGGAGCTGGAACTTGCAGACTCCACAGCCCTCTCGGACCTGCGCTGGCAGGAGCCATCTGCAGACTTGGCATCCTCACCCCCACCGTCCTCCAACCCCTCACTCTCGCTCGCACAGCCCCTCCGCAGCGAGAGATCGGGCCGAGACACCCCAGCCAGTGTGGACTCCATACCCCTGGAGTGGGACCATGACTATGACCTTAGTCGTGACCTCGAGTCTGCAGTGTCCGGAACTCTGCCTTCTGAGGATGAGGAGGGCCAGGAAGACCGGGATTTCTACCTCAGGGGTGCTGTCGGCTTGTCAGGTAGGAATGAGCATGTCATGAGTCCCAACTTGAAAGAAAACCAAAGGGAATTAGTGTTATAGGGAGCCATCCCTATAATGACCCTCTTTCCAGAGTCATTGTCTTCCTCTCCCAGTGAGGGAAATTGTATTGGAGCCAACAGTTACATACCAATGTGATTATCCTGTACAAAAATTGGCTTGCCATTGATCTAGTCTACATTTAGTTACTGGGTGAGAAGCCATTTTTCAAGCACTAGGAATACACGGTTCCTTTCATTCTCAAAGGGCAAAGTAACGTTTGAGCTGAGACCAGAAAGAGGAATAAAAGTAAGTCTGGTAGACATGGCAATGTTCAGAGAAGGAAAGGAGATGGGAGCTGGTCCCAGCTTTGTGATCAACCACAATGCTTTAGGTCATTGCAAGTTTGCCCAGAATGACAAAGACTAGGGGTTGCATGGAAAAGATTAAACAAAACAGTCTAAAACAGAAACCAAACACCAGGTCATAAAGCAACCTGTTCACTATGTTAGGAGCTGGTGGTTATCTTGTAGGGAGCAGGGAGTCATGGAAGGATCTGAGGTTAGGAGGGGATGCAATCAGATGTTATATCTGTCTGGATACTGTTGGGAGAAAAAGATACTGGGGGAAAGAATCCAAATAGAAATTCTCTATAATCTAGGACAGAGAGAGGATGTTGGCTTGAACTAAGGAAGTAGCATGGGAGATGGAGAAGATGAGAAATCATAAGATCAGGAATAACTGGTGATGGACTGAATTGGGATGGAGGTGATTGCTCGCTTTGGGATCTTGGTGGAAGATGCAGGTGGCCTTAGGACGTGAGAACCGCAAGGGAGAGAGATCACTGTTGTAGCTGGGCAAAGGGGGCACAGTGCTGAGCTAGTGGAGGTGCCGAGTTTGGTTATGTATCTCCTGCATCTGAGATACTTGCAGGATTGCCAGATACAAAAACCAAGGAGTAGATGCATGAGTCTAAAGTCCAGGATCTGGATGTGCAGATTAGGGAATTAAAATTGCATAATTAGTAATTGTTCTGAGTGAATGCAGTTAATCACAAAGGAAGAGTGTCTAGCAGGAAACGAGAAAGAAAACCCCAAGCAGCCTGTAATGAGAGGATGGACAGAGAAAGAGGCCAAGTGTCAGGACAGTGAGTAAAAGTAGAATAGATCATTGGAGACTGATTGGAGGCATTTGTCATCATGCATTCTCTTCAGGATCATCCATGGGTAGTTCTGCTTGTTTCCAGTGGAAATCTGGATCCCCAAGCATATGCCAGTGTTCTAAAAATAAAATGATTTTTCTCACTTCTGTTTTCCTAACAGCAGAGTCCATTAGTTAGGCAAATGGCACTGGAAGCATCACTGTCCACTATGTAGCCACCCACCTAGCACATGTTACTGTTGAGCATTGAAATATGACACTTAAAATTGATTTGGGCTGTAAGTGTAAAATGTACTTTAACAGATACACACATTTCCAAGACTTAGCACAAAGAAAGAATGTAAAGTATGAATAATATTTATGTTGATTACATGTTATAATTTGAATATATTGACTTAGTAAAATGTATTCAAATTGATTTCATGTGTTACGTTACTCTTCCAGTGTGATTATTAAACCTGCAAGATTAGCTATGTGGTTCCCATAGAAATATATAGACAGTGCTTTTCTAGAATCAGACTATCTGGGTTGAAATCTCAGTTCAGTCACTTACTGTTTAAAGTTGGGTAAGTATTTTAATTCCTCTGGGTGTTTTTTTAATTTTTTTCCTGTGAAATGGGAATAACACTCCCAGGCATCCTGTAGAGTTACCTTGGGATAAATGGTACTTACACTAGTATGTAGCTCGTAAAATGCTTCCAACCCGTGTGAGCTTTCCTTAGCACTCAGTTTAGGAAACCTTTAGTGAGCATGTGCACCCCGCTGTCTTTGCTCAGGGGCTGTTTGTCCAGAATGACTAATTTCCTTTTTTCTCTAGGAGAGTTATTTTCCTGCCACAAGGGAATCAAGTTTTCCAGAACTTAGCTGTCAACTTAGACTGTGCTCTTTTTGCAGATGTAATGATCCCTGAAAGCCCCGAGGCCTATGTAAAACTCACAGAAAATGCCATCAAAAATATCTCTGGTAGGCACAAAAGATGGAGCCAACCTTCTTCCCTCACCTGTAACCAGGCTCTCTTAGCACATCTGCTGTATCTCTCACAGCTTTCTAGCTCAAGCATGTTAAGGCACAACCACCTTCTCTTCCTGCTGTACTAGGAAAACAGCTGGGTGATCAACATCAAGAATAAAATTTTAATAAGCAGTGAAATGAAACAGCTTCCTTGTGAAATGGTGATCAGTCCCTATGCCCATTAACGGCAGAAAATATGAGAGGGAGAAGTCTTCCACATTAATGCTTCCACACACTGTTCTACTGGGGTCCTGTCATGCCAGCTTCCTGAGGTTGAGACCTCCCTCCCTCTGGGGAATTAGGGCACAGGCAGTGGCCACAAGTCTACCAGCCTGCAGGAGTGACCTAGGGAACACCCACCCCTTCCTCCCTCTCATCTCAGGGGTTGCCTATAAGACAAGAGTGAAAATAAATTTGAGCTCTAAAAACTGTAGTATGTTAACAGAAGTATTATCTCAAAATAATTGGAAGAGAAAAATGTATTGCACAGTAAAGTGTGCCTTAGATTAATCAAACACAAAGGAAAATCAAAGTAGTCTTGCTCAGTTTGTACTAGGCAAACTGCAGTTCAGGGTCAGTGATTAGGGAGAGGAGGATTTGAACACAGTCCTGTGATACTGAGTCAGGGGTCACCAGTTTATGCAGTCAGCTCTCTACATACGGAACCTGGATCTGGAACTTATGTATCTGTGGGTTGTATATCTGCAGATTCAACCCACTGTGCATTGAAAACATTCTGGAAAAAGTTGTACCTGTACTGAATGTGTACAGACTTTGTCTTGTAAATATTCTGTAAATAATGCATTGAAACAATTGTTTACATAGCATTTTCCTGTATTAAATATTATAGGGATGATTTAGAGAGCATGTGCAGAGGTTGTAAGCAAATACTACTCCATTTTACATAAGGGAAGAGCATGTGTGTTTTTGGCATCCAAGGAGAGTCCTGGAACCAATTCCTTGTGGATACCAAGGGATAGGGGAAGTTAGAGTTTTGGCATGAAGCAAAGTAGCGTGACTAAGAGAGTATTTTCTGAGCAGTCCCAGTGGCAGACTTCACTAGGCCAGGTGTAATTAGAAGGGCTTTTTTCAATAATAAATTTAATACAGCTTACTAATGTTTATTTTGCTTTCACCCTGTGCTTGCTCCACTCTGATCAATGCTCTTATTCTATCCAAAGACGACAGTATGTATACACAGACACATACACTATAATTTTGAAAAAAAAAAAAAAAAAACTGTGAAAACTGAGAATGAGCCAGGAATTCTAGGCTTTGAGAGCCTGAACTAGAAGGATTGCTGAAACTTTAACCCTCCTCTGGTCTTTTTGTATCTAGAAAGTCATTGCTAGTGTGATATCACCATATATCTCTATTCTGAGCTCTTGTCATATTACTTGAATTTATGTCTCAAGTGAATGATGCAGTAACTGGGCCCTTCTAGGCACTGTCTTCTCGGAGGTGCAGGAAGAAATATTAGAGCGTGTGTTTACCATTGCTTGCTAAGATACCACAGAAAGAGCCTAAGAAATCACTACCTCTGCTTACTAGGGTGCAGTAGACACTGCTTCAAACTTTTCTAAAGACCTTCTACCATTTATAGCATTTGGAATATAAAGGGGACCACCTGAAAGAGGGAGCAGACCCATGAGGATATTTGCAATGTTCAGTTCACTGGGACACTTAGAGAAACACATTCATTAATTTGGCATCTAAATGCCTAACCCACTAGCATGATAGTGCTAAATTTGCTTTATAGTTACCCCACACATGCCTTTTTCTATGCTGCCGTACCTGAAATAATTTCCAGAACTTATTCTTGACCATCAAGCTTGAAATAAATCAAACAGTATGGCTGCTAAGGAGTCTTATGATTGACTCTGCAGGGGATCACGCTGCCTTGGAATCGCAGATCCGCCAACTGGGCAAAGCCCTGGATGACAGCCGCTTTCAGATGCAGCAAACTGAAAATATCATCCGCAGCAAAACTCCCACGGTCCCGGAGCTAGACTCCAGCTACAAAGGCTACGTGAGTCCCCTTGACCATGCTGACCCTGTCCTCTACCTGGACTCGTGGTTCTATGACAGGGAACAGTCCGTCTGTATTATGATGTCTCTGAACACCATGCCGTCATTGAATTCATGAATGTGGATGTGCAGAACAAAGCCCTGTCCTTTAAAGTTACCATTCAAATAGGACTGGTCTGTTCTCAGACCCACAAGCCTTGAAGTAATGATCAGCCTGTTCCTTCACACTGAGCCTTTAGGTAGATCTGGTCAGTTGAACAGCAGAATGCTTTGGCATCCAAAAGTCATTAGGCATTTTTCCAAATTCAGCTAGTAATTTTTGGACAAAGGTTATCCTTGGAGCAACAGATTTTAGCTAATAGATTACTAAAGGGATTGTTTGAGTTCTTTTCTTGGGTTTATTGATTCACTTAATGACCTTGGGAATATTTTTATCCTCTGTTCTTAGTATGCTGCCTCTGAAGAAAACAGTCCATGAGAGAGACTTAGAGAGACAAGAGCAACAAATTATGTATCTTACCAGTTCTGTAAAGACCCTTCAAAAAACCGATAGAAAATGAAATTAAGATATGTTTGTTGTTGGTGCAAAAAGCTTTTGAAAATCCATAATTTTTTCATTCAGGAATTTCCTATGAACTTTTTGAAGATCCCCCTATCTAAGCGGCTATTAGCTACACATGATAGTGTCTAGCGTAACTTTATGTGCTCTTTTCAAGTTACTGACAAGTTTTCCTCAGCATTATATTTGTTTTCCCATACATACACAGGCAACAAAGTCTTCATATAAATCTATTTCTTGCCCCATATCTTTCTTCAAATCTAAAACACAGCTTTGGAAAATAAAATAAAACTTAATTTTCCATGTTCTAATCATAGCTCACATGTACAACTTTTTGAAGCCAGAGGAGAAAACTGCTCCAGCCATATATGATGAAACTGATATTCTCACAATTACTTCTATTAAACTAAAACCTCTTTTTCAAAAGAGTAATAGAGTTTTATGAAAACTGTGCTGGTATCTCTAAAATTACATTTAACCCAATCAAAAATAATCTAAATAAATAGAATTCTAAGGTGTTAAAGGCTCTAGAAGATAAATTTAAGATTGCTATGGCAGAAATGCTTTGAAATGACTTATCCTTTTAATCTTTGAATATAGTGTTCAAAGGATTTGGGTGCAGGCATTTGGCCTAACTACTAAATCATTAGGTTGAGATGACTGCATTCCATATCAGAGTGCTTAGGTTTGAGACCTGGCTCTGCTTCTCATTCCAGCTTCCTGCACTGTGAAACCTGGGAGGTAGCAGATAATGGCTCAAATAGTTGGTTCCCTGCCACCCATGTGGGAGACCTAGATTGAGTTCCATGGGATAGAACCACTCTCTGGCACTCACTGTCAATCTGTCCAACCCCCCACCCCCACCCCACCCCGCACTGCCAGCCCTCACCTTCTCAAAAATAAAATCAAAATGGATTTGGAAGCACTTTATCTTATTTTAAAATAGAGTCCCATGATTTATGTTAAGCATTGCTTAAATTTTCTAATAAAACAGCTGACTTTAATATTACTTTATGCTTTTAAGTATTATAATTATTTGATGCATAAATTTTCCCATGAGATTTGTGGTAATACTAGTATTTTGACATTTCAGTTTTAGAAAAAGGAAGAGGGAACAACTTGCCAAAAATTGTATATTATGTTGCAAGCTGAAGTCTCTGAGTTTTAAGTCCTGGATTGATTTAATGTTTTGATTCGTGAATTTAAAAAGGTTGATGACTTCTCATGTAAATCATGAATGCAAACTATATCTTGAAGACATTTCTTTTTTTATACATAAATGTGTCGCTTATTTAAACAACATGTTTTGAACATTGGTTATTTGCTGTTCACTTAAAAATCATTTGAGATGCAGAGAGCAAGAGAAAAAGAGAAACTGATAGACAGAAACCTCCCATCTGCTGGCCCATTTCCCAAATCCTTGGGAGCAGGGAACTCAATCCAGATCTCCCACATTCATGTTAGGGGACTCAAAGACTTGAGCCATCACCTCTTGTCTTGCTGGGTGCACATTAGCAGAAAGCTGGAATCTGGAACAGAGTGGGGACTTGAATCCAGGCACTGCAGTGTGGGATGTGGGCATCCTAACCCCTAGGTCAAATGCTCACCCTGTGAATTTTGCTTAGCTTTGGTTGAGTGGCTCAGAGAAGTAACGTGCAGTCACTGCCCTGGTTGAGAAACTGCAATAGCTATTTGGCCAGAAGCTCTTGCCCTGGTGAGAATTTCAGTGGTTGGCTTGTGTGTTTGTAATGCCTACACAGATGAAGCTGCTGGGTGAGTGCAGTGGCACCATAGACTCCGTGAAGAGGCTGGAGCACAAACTGAAGGAGGAAGAGGAGAGCTTTCCTGGCTTTGTCAACCTGAACAGCACCGAAGCTCAAACAGCTGGTGAGTGTGCGTCACGCAGTGCAGGGCAGTGAAGTCATGGATCTGGAAGTGTTTGCCTTCTGCCCTTTCTCTGTGCACCTGCTCATGACCTCCTATTACAGAAAGGAAAGTCATGAGCATCGTGTAGATTTTCCCTGGTCCACTCATTTCAATGCACTATCTAGCCCATCTAGTCAGCACTTTATATGAGTGTGAATGCATTTTCAATTTTTTGAGCAAAATAAATTTATAGTTTAATTCCATTTCCACGGACTTTTTGAAATACCCTCCTATGTATGCTCTCAGAATCCTACTGTAGAAAGAAACCAAACATGGAATGATATCTTCATGTACATGACTGCTTATTGCCTCAAAAAATCTTCAATTATATATATATATAATTGTACATATATGTGTGTGTGTACACACATTACTACACACACACACATATTTGAGAGGGAGAGAGAGATCCATCTTCCATCCACTGGTTTACTCTGAAAATGCCTGCAGCATTCAGGATCAAGCCATGAGCTAGGAATGCAATCCCAGTCTCCTACATGCATGGTAGAGACTCAACAACTTGAGCCACCACCTGCTGCCCCTCAAGGTCTACATCAGCAGGAAGCTGGAAGAATTGAGAGCAGAGCCAGGAATCAAACCCAGGCACTCCAATACGGAATGTGGACATCTTAACCTCTAGGCCAAGTTCCTACCCCTCATAAGCTCTTGACTACCTTAAATCCTATATAGTTAATTCCTCTTTCTACTTTATTATCGTTGCAAATAGGAAAAACAGCTATGTGATCCTTTAACTATTGTTTGATTATAGAAACGCCCAGTGGTGTTTCCTTCTGTGTCTTTGAAGTTAGTCCCCAGGTATATATACAGCATTTCCTAAATATCTAGGGTAGAGAAAAACCCCTCACTTTTCTCTGTGTGCCTTGGCAGGTGTGATTGATCGATGGGAACTCATCCAGGCCCAGGCCCTGAGCAAGGAGTTGAGAATGAAGCAGAACCTCCAGAAGTGGCAGCAATTCAACTCAGACCTGAACAACATCTGGGCCTGGCTGGGAGAGACGGAGGAGGAGCTGGAACAACTGCAGCGTCTGGAGCTCAGCACTGACATCCCCACCATCGAGCTCCAAATCAAGAAGCTCAAGGTAGCTGCCTAAAACACCTGTTCCGAGGAAGCCTCAGCCTGATTTCCTCTAACACAGCAGCAGAGAAGGTGTCTAACCAAAATGAGCAAGAATGATTTCCTTTACCAGCCATCCAGAACACACTTGTTTCATAAAGTTGGCTCTGAAGGGCAGATGGTGGAACAACTTTGTAGGACTGTCTACCATGTAAATAATCAAGGATGACTTAATGAATTGGGATTTTAATAAATGGCCAATTAAAGTCTCATGAAAAATCCAGGCACATCTAGGATCCATTTAACCTCTTTGTAAGGGAAATACAGAGATGATCAGAGTCCTGCAAATTTGTATCTAGAGCTGAAGAGAAACCCTTTCCAAGATTGCATCTGCATGAATTTGCGGAGACCTAATTAAATCATCTGATACACTCAATTCAATGACACTTGAAATTGAGTGCAGTGGTGCATAAAGAAATTTTACTGTAAGGAATACAACAAAACAAACTGTAGCATAATTTAACAGCACGTGAGATTTGCATTTAATTTTGACCTGGGAATGTGTGGTGCACGAGACAATATCCTTCAACTCCAGCTTTGGGTCTTACAAATCCTTATTAGCCCAGCTATTAAAATGAATGCTGTAGCATTCTATGGACTGAGAGCTCAGTTTCTTTCTAATAGAGAACATCAGATTGTGTCCCTCCTCAGGACAAAGCTGCCCAGGTTCTCTGGGTTATTGTATTGAAGTGTGATGCCTTGGTGTTTATATGGCTCAGTATGTGCTATTGAACTGAGGTTGATCTTTCTATAGTTTGCTTTTTGGAAGTTGTGCTCTGTTTTAAATTTTCAGCAGAGAAATAGTCATCTCCAAAGATGTTCTCACAGTTACATCTTTATAGAAAGTTCCCTGCACTGTCCCTGTGAATTTTAAGATGAAGGCCAGAATGGGAAATGCCAGTCGACAGGATGAGTCTGCATTGCAAAGTGCATTTTTCTCTTGAGTTCCTAGATGACTCCAGTAGGGCAATGTTGCATTACAACCAAATTCCCATCACTATTAAGGTGATGAAGCAAATGTGGTCAGGGTCTGAGACCTCAGCGAGATTAGGTTGGAGAGAGAGTCAACCTCCATCATTAGGAAAAGGCCACCCTCCTCTGCTCCCATTCCTGATCCTTCCTATGTTTTCTGTAAATAAATTTATGGAATAACCAAGTATGTTCCACAATATCCCTGATCTTATGCTGCCTCTGTGGTTGAATCTATGCCACATCAGATTAAGAAGTATTGAGAAATGAAAATTTAAAGCAAGCTGGGAGCATAATGGAACTAGTGAGAAATTACAAGAAAATTCAGCCTGGGTAGATCTAGAACTGTTCCCCTCTCTTGGATCTGGGGATATTTAAACAGTATCCAGATATTCAATTATTCATACACAATCATGTGCTGAAGTTCTTGAAACTGAATCTTGTTTTTTTTTTTTGGAAATGCACAGAATCAAAAATCAATTGCCTGGTTTTTGTAAATTCAACTAAAATCACTAGCTCAAGAATTATCCAACCTGTTCTCAAACATTGACCTGTGACACAGATAGTATTCTCAGCCTGGGGGCCATTCTACCTACAGATTCAGACCATCTGGAGTTTGTGTCTGGGAATCTGCTGTCTCAGGCTCACCACCTCATTCTTAGGCACACCAGTTTGAGTACCATTGGCCTAGAGAAGTGGGACTGTTACCCTAGGGGAACTATTGGAGCCTCATTTTTGGTTTCTTTCTTGTGATTGAACACATACAAAAAAACCATGGATGGGGAGGGTTAATCAGACCTCATTGTTTGTTGCATGGGGTTGTCAGGGCTTCCTACAAGGCTCATCTTCACTCTGTTTCCATTTCCTCTGCTGTTTTTTTAAAACCCCATTCCTCATGCCCATGGCAGCCATTCTGAAATGTCTGTTGCTTGTGTATATTCTTGAGCACTGTGAGTGTTTTGTGTGCACATGTACTGATGCCATTGTCTTCCACATATCACTTTGAGTTTGACCTTTTCACTCTCCACCATTTTCTTTTAATGTTTACTTATTTGAAAAGTAGAGATACAGATAGAAGAAGGGAGAGAAATCAGATCATTCAACTGCTGTTTAACCCCCCCAAATGCCCACAATAACCAGGGCTTGACCATGCTGAAGCCAGGAGCCTGGAACTCCATCTGGGTCTTCAAAATTTTGACATGATTCCAAGCACTGGGATCTTCTTCTGTTGCTTTCCCAGGAACATTAGCAGGGGCATGAACCAACATTCACTTGGGATGCCAGTGGCACAGACAGTGGCTTACTATGCTATACCACAATGCCAACTCTTCCACCATATTTTCTTAAAACCCATCCATGTTGTTAAGTGTCCATGTAGTCTATTTCTTCCAACTGTGGCATGGTTCTCACTGCAGTGCATCCAGCTTCTCTAACTTGGCCATCTTGTTAAGGGCAGTTTTAATTAATGGGCCTTTTTATTTGAGCAAAACATTTCAAGGAACTGAAACCACAGTCTTAGAAAAAAAAAAATTGAACCATTAATATCCCTATTTAATTGTTCTCTTTTCTCTTTCAGGAGCTCCAGAAAGCTGTGGACCACCGCAAAGCCATCATCATCTCCATCAATCTCTGCAGCTCCGAGTTTACCCAGGCTGACAGCAAGGAGAGCCAGGACCTGCAGGAGCGCTTGTCTCGCATGAATGGGCGCTGGGACCGGGTGTGCTCTTTGCTGGAGGAGTGGCGAGGTCTGCTGCAGGATGCATTGATGCAGTGCCAGGTGGGAAGGGCTCTGGACAGGCTGTGACTTGGAGCCAACTGCTGATTCTTTAGCCAAATCTGTGACTTGATCCAAAGTCAATATGGAGCGAGATGACTTGTACCCATACTTCTCATTTTACTGGAAAATATACACATTTTGACCAGAGTTCAAAGCCCATGGCTTCCATCTTCTGTCCAGCTAGGAAGAACAGACTATTACCCAGGTTCAGGTCACTCCTGCTATTCCTTCTCTTATTCATTCATTCATTCAACACTTTTTACTGAGCCCATTGGCAAACATTTCTTGAACAGCAAAGTGAGCATTGCAAATATTTTATCCATCCAATCATTAGAAAATTCCTTAGTTACTTAGTGTTCATTGTATATTCAAATATGAAAAAAAGCATAAATTTTACCTTTGTTGGGGAAACAAGCTATATAAAATGCAAGCAAATAGTTAACCAGGGTACATTCAGACAGGATGGTGAGAGTAACTGAGAAAAGCCACAGTGGGAGGGTATTCAGGGATGTTCCGACTCTTTGAGCTGATTCTAGAAGGATGTTTCTGTGAGGGATGTTACTACAACCAGTGGGTAGTCCCAGAGAATCTTTTTTTTTTTTCTTTTTTGACAGGCAGAGTTAGAGAGAGAGAAAGAGAGAAAAGTCTTCCTTCCATTAGTTCACCCCCAAATGGCTGCTACGGCCGGCACGCTATGCTGATCTGAAGGCAGGAGCCAGGTGCTTCCTCCTGGTCTCCCATGCGGGTGCAGGGCCCAAGCACTTGGGCCATCCTCCACTGCCTTCCAGGGCCTCAGCAGAGAGCTGGACTGGAAGAGGAGCAACTGGGAAAGAACCTGATGCCCCGACTGGGACTAAAACTCGGTGTGCCGGCGCCGCAGGCAGAGGATTAGCCTACTGAGCTGCGGCGCTGGCCCCAGAGAATCTTAATGTCGTTATGGACAGAAAAGAGGCCAGTCTGACCAGAGTGTAGTCAGTGAGGCAGAGAGTGTTTAGAAACACTGGGAAGATTGAGGAACTAGATCATGTAGAGCCTTGAAGGTAGGTCCTGGGGAGTTCGGACTCTGTTCTAAACACGATGGGAGGCCCTTGAAGGATGTGAAGCTAGTTCTTTAAGTTATTTGTGCTCCAAGAATATCAGCTCATTGAAAGCTGGTACTCAAACCATTATTTCATCTCTACACCCACTCCTAGTCCAGCGCCTTACACATGTGGGAGGTATTGAGTAATTGTGTGTGCAATGAACAGATGAATAAAATGGTGATGAGATCGACCCTAAGCCTTAAAAGATAGGAAGATTTTAATACATGGAGAAGGAATGGGAGCAGAGTTGCTTCCTTCCAAACTAGCAGCACTGCTCTTCTCTCAGAAATCAAATACTTTGATGCTAAATTACTTTGTCAAATTTTTTCCCCACATAATTAGATGATTTTGGCAAGAACATAAACTCATGGTAAAATCATTACAAAGCCACTAGTGCCTTCCTCAGAAAAGAGATATGTGTATTATGTTTAAACAATGGTAGAAATTGAGAAGAAGAAAATCTATTCAAGAAATATGTTACCCATGGTTATTTCATGCTCTCTGTGGTTTTGTTTTGTTTTGGTAGGATTTCCATGAAATGAGCCACAGTTTGCTTCTTATGTTGGAGAACATAGACAGAAGGAAAAATGAAATTGTCCCCATTGATGCTAACCTTGACACAGAAATACTTCAGGACCATCACAGACAGCTCATGGTAAGACGTGAGGGCTGTGGCAGCACAGACAAGTTTCATTTACGAAAACTGAATGCAGTGAAATATGCGCACACCACACAAATATTGCAGTGATACACACACACATATTGCAATGATATATTTATATGTGTGTGTGTGCTATAGCCTTTTATGCTATAGTCTCTAATGCTTTTTTTAACTCCTCACTCTTTCTATCCTTTGTGAAGCAAATGTGTGCCAAGAAGTCAACATCTGCTAGCTTTAGAATCTGACCCTCAGTCATCGCTCAGTTGTAAAAACCCTACGTGTTCCTCATCTTGATGAGCTTGTGTTTATTAAGGCAGTTATTTCTAGTGAATTACGCTTTTTGTTTCAACTTTGTTATGTCTATGTCCCCGTGGTATACTTGATGGCTTATAAAAGGACATTAAAATGAGAGAGAGAGAGAGAGAATATGAATATATCAGATTCACCATGAACCTTAGTTCTGAGTTTTCTGAAAGGTAAGACAAAACATGAAGCAGTATGAGTTAAGTTGTTTTATCATCTGACCAAAAAAAAACAATAGCAGTTCTTAGAATCAAGAACCTTTTTCTTTTTTTTAAAGATTTTATTTATTTGAAAGTCAAAGTTACACAGAGAGAGAAGGAGAGGCAGAGAGAGAGAGATCAATCAATCGATCTTCCATCTGCTGGTTCACTCTCCAGTTGGCTGCAACTGTGCCGATCCAAAGCCAGAAGCTTCTTCCAGGTCTCCCATGTGGGTGCAGGGGCCCAAGGACTTGGGCCATCTTCTACTGCTTTCCCAGGCCACAGAAGAGAGCTGGATCAGAAGTGGAGCAGCCAGGACTTGAACCAGCGCCCATAAGAACCTTTTTCTAGCACTACATTGAAGTGGAAATTTATTGTATAGATTCTTATTCAAGGGTCTTGGGAAATACATACGATGTATTTAAGTGATTTTCATAGAAGACAAAGCATATTTAAGTTCCATTAGGAGAAAAATGATTTGCATTTTGTAACTTTCTGTATTTTTAAACTGTTATTATTATTATTATTATTTTTGGACAGGCAGATTTAGACACAGAGAGAGAGAGACAGGGAGAAAGGTCTTCCTTTTTCCATTGGTTCACTCCCCCAAATGGCCGCTATGGCCAGTGCACTGTGCTGATCCAAAGCCAGGAGCCAGGTGCTTCCTCCTGGTCTCCCATGCAGGTGCAGGGCTCAAGCACTTGGACTATTGTCTACTGCCTTCCCAGGCCACAGCAGAGAGCTGAACTGGAAGAGGAGCAACTGGGACAGAATCCGGCGCCCCCACCGGGACTAGAACCCGGTGTGCTGGCGCCGCAGGTGAAGGATTAGCCTAGTGAGCAGCGGCGCAGGCCAACCTGTTTGTTTTAATACCTAATACTTGTGAAAGCTACAGAACCGGTAGCTTTTAATTCTGTACCATACGGGTCTTAGAAACCAAAAGGAAATAGCTCTGCAATGCATTTTTACTGGAGTTTGACCTGAGTCAAGTTATAACATGACATTGTAAATTATGAATCACCCTATATCTTTTTATATTAATTTCTACTTATTTCATTCTATTTGGAATATTGGGAGACAGAGACAGCCATAGAGAGGTCTTCTATTTTCTTGTTTACTTCCCAAATGCCAACAGTCCAGGTTAGACCAGGCCAAAGCCAAGAGCCTGGAACTCCAACTCCATGTAAGTGGCAGAAACCTGAGCACTTGAGCCACTCACGGCTCCCTCCCAAAGTTCATATTAGCAGGAAGTTAGAACAGCCAGGACTCAACAGGCATTCAGATACAGGATGCATGTGGCTCAACTGGCCTCTTAACTCCTTCGCTGCCCCCACCTGATGTCTTTTTTAAAAATCATGATTAGCTATAAGAATATAGAATATGTAAACTTATGGAAAATAGAATTAAAAGATAAGTTTATTTTGATAGAAAAAATGAAATCTGTATATAAACGAATTTTCAAAAATTCATAGAAAATGTGTTCTGAAAAAATTATTCATGAATTTCTAAACTTTTTACACCAAAATAAATGTTTTAATTCTATTTTCTAAAAACTCTTTGAAGTAGCCTCATGCATAGACATACTTAAATTTTGCTATATTTTATTGTAAGTTTTATTTTTCTGATTTAAAAGAATCTCATTTCTCATTTGCATAAGTTTAGTTTAAGTACACTAACATATTAACCCATTTGAATCTTCAGTGATACTTACTGCACAGCAGGCTCCAACTGAGAAAATTGAGATTAAAAAAGATTCAGGGGTCTTTTAAAAAACTTTTACTTATTTGCTTGTTTTCATCTTATGCAAAAGGCAGCAGAGACAGAGGTAGAAAAAGAGGCACACAGAGAGTGATATCTTCCATATCCTGGTTCACTCCCTAACTTCCTACAGCAACTGAGGCTGGACCAGGATGAACCCAGTAGCCTGAAACTCATTCCCTGTCTCCCACATACATGGCAGGGACCCGAGTACTTGAGCCATCACTTGTTGCCTCCCCAGGGAATGCATTAGCAGGAAGATGGATCAGAAGTAGAGGTGGCGCTCCGACTCAGGCATTCTGATCTGGAATGCCAGTATCCCATGCAGCATTTTAACTGCTGTATCAAAGCCCCTCCTCCTCTATCCCCAGAGGTCTTACAGAATATTAATAGCAGAGGCAGGATTAGAACACAGGTCGTCAGTTACTATGCCATGGTTGGCTACATCCTTGTATGTGTGTGTGCTCCACATTGTCCAGTCCAATTTCCCATTAAAGCTACAGTATTATAATTCTGCACTTTTGGAACTTCACCAAAAACTCTTAGAAAAATATTTCCTATTATACATATAGCAAATAAGACGTGAGCTGTTGGAGTCGCAACTCAAAGTGGCCTCACTACAAGACATGTCTTGCCAACTCCTGGTGAATGCTGAAGGCACAGACTGTTTAGAAGCCAAAGAAAAAGTCCATGTTATTGGAAATCGGCTCAAACTTCTCTTGAAGGAGGTCAGTCGTCATATCAAGGAACTGGAGAAGTTATTAGACATGCCAAGCAGTCAGCAGGTAAGCTTTAAACAGACATGATTGTGCAAGGGTAGCCTGTCTCACAGAGACCAGAGCAGCAGCATCTTCAGGCATTTAAGAAAGACTTAGAAAGTGGTACTTGTGGGAAAGGAGTGCCTACTCTCACTCACTGCTCCTCCAAGTCACATCTCAGAATTAAAGAGAAGACTCATCCATATATATTATAGGACACTGCTTTTGAGTCCATTATATCCAAAAGATCTTTTGTCATTCTTCCTACCAACCCTGTTACCACTATTGTGACATTTATATTTTACCCTGGTTATTTAAGAATTCCCACATTTTCACTTAACACAGCCATGGCAGAGAAAACCAGGCATTGCGGTGAGTGATGTATTCAACCCATGTAAAGCGTGATTCTCCTCCCTTATATGGTAATTTATACATTGAAAATGGTCCTCTGTTCATTTATTTTTATATTATTTTCTTAAATCTATTGCATCATGGTAGTAATGTTGATCTTGGGAAAAGCATTTGCAAATGTAGCTGTCCCTGGTAAGATTTGTTACACTCAATTTTGAAATCAAGTGAAGAACACACAAAAGATTTGCTTTTTTATCGGCATGCAAAACAGCAGTCTATTTTAAATAGCATCAAGGGTCAGAAATAATGTAATTTCTCTGATGCTTCCAGGCAGATTCCTGGATAACTTTTGTTGGTGACTACTTGAATTGATTTTTCTCTGCCCTGACTGACCTGCAGTTATAAAACAGACTTCTCTTCCCATGCTGATATCATTTCCTCCCCATGCATGTCATTAAGAAATAATAAAGTTTTAAGTGACTCATAGCAGTAACAAAGCGTATAGCTAGGTTTGCCAGAAGGACCAAACATAAACAAGGAGATCCAAATGTACTGGAAGAATTAGGTCCTGTTCTGAGATGTTGTCTGAGTCCCTTTTCCCCAAGGATTTGTGTGTGTGTATGTGCGTGTGTGTGTGTGACATACACATGGGATGGAGGGTTAGAGTGGGGAATACATTGTGTGTGAGGCAACCTCCATTTTCTGGGACATGGCATTCTTAAAAGGATCTCTTTTCCCACCTAGGATCTGTCTTCCTGGTCTTCTGCTGATGAACTAGACACTTCGGGATCTGTGAGTCCCACATCAGGAAGAAGCACCCCAAACAGACAGAAATCGGTAACTGTCCATCAGTGACTTTCAGTGGGCCCAGAGGGAGGGAACACAGGGGAGTGACAGTACTTGTGCCTGCCACAGGTTCCGCAGGCTCTTCCCACCCGAATGCAGGAACCCCCAGACAGATGCGGACTGTCACCCCAGGTAGAGCTTCTTGTCAACCTGCCACCGCCCTTCTGGCATGCACTCAGGAACACAAAATGGGAGTTCTCTCTTTCAAAAGAACCAGAGCTCAAGGTGTGGCTGGTATGCAGGGAGAAAACTTAGTGTTCCTGCTCAAATGGCCATTTCTAGAATGGTGCTCATGTGTCCCTTTGGTGGCTCCTCCTTCAAACCACCACTGCTATGTTCACCTCAAAAAGGACAGGAATAGCTCAGCCAGAGGTGGACAAAACTGAGAATGTCTTATGAACCCAAGGAATTGATGAGCCGAGGTTCTCTTAACTCTCCAGCAAGGAACTTTGTGAGTGGTGGTCCTGAAGGTGTCTGGCCATTTACTGCCACTAAAGTGGCAACAAGTCAGCCCACCCACCCACAAGGCCAGTGGTAGGGGTGTCCTCACTGCAGAACACTGAGGATGCAAAACACAAATGTGGCCCCTGCTACCCTCTATGCCTTGGTTTCTCTGTGTAATTAGAAGCTTGTTTTTGTTTTGTTATTTTTTGTCTGGCTTTATGATTATAGTCATTCCATTTTTCCTTAGTTTTTAGAAGTATCAATTTCATTTGTACCCTTTTGTTATAAGCACTTACGTTCTATGCTGACAAATGTATTATCTCTTCTAGGATTTTTTTTTCTTCTACATTCACTAGTTTCCTATAGATCCTAGTTTAAGAATGTGAAGGAATACTGGCTTTTCAAGTTAAATTTTAGACTTTGTTCAACTTGAGTTTAATTTGTTGGGTCTCATCCCTGCCAAAAACAATGTCATGTTACTGTTGCTGTGTTTATCTGCAGAGAATTGTACAAACACCATTTTAATATTTTAAAAGATGAGAAAAATATGTAAAATATCTTTGACACTTATGGTCTAGCATGGTGAATTTGTTGTCAGTGAATATAGAGAGACACTTGAGTAGTGTAGAGTCACTGGTTTCCACCATGAGTTTATGCCCATTGTGGTGTGGACCTCAGAACCACAATTTGCATTTCTTCAGTGATTGATAATATATACCTACATTGATTGCACCAAAAGAAAAGCCAGTTTCCTTAATTCATGGGTACTGATTGTTTCATTTGATTTGTTTTTCTTTTGCTGCACTTTTAGTTTAATTTTCATCAGTAGCTTGTCTTTATTTGCCTGGACTGAACATTCTTCTTTCTTTACCCCCTGTTCATTGCAAACAGCCACGAGGCAAATGTAGTCCCTCACAGCCCGGACCCTCTGTGAGCAGTCCACATAGCAGGTACCTCCTTCTCCTGGTTTCCACACTGTTCTAGAACTCCAAGAGGATGATGAAAGTGGTCTGTGACTAAGTGTGCCTACATCTGATCTGCCTCAGGACAGTTGAGAAATTATCCATTTCAATCCACATCATTCCCTAACAAATTGTAAGAGGCATTTCTAAAAGAAAAGTATGAGTCAAACTCAGAGCATAACTGTCTGGACCCCAGTGAAAATCTGTTCAGCCACCCGCAGCCCACGTGGTACTTTCCATCACATTGTCTTCCGTGTGTTGCAAGGATTCCATACAACCAGTGCAACAGCTTCCATTTGATTCATGGCAGACTTTTATCATCCTCTTTATTTCTAGAGTTAACAATCAGACAGGTAATAAATCAATGAATTATTAGACCATCCACAGAACCCACAGATCTGCATAAAACATACTAACATCCCCAGCTTTTTATTTTATTTTAATGTTTTATCCAGATTGTGGGTTTTGGGTTCTCAGCATAGCCAGTCCTCAGTGGGTATTCTTCACTTAACATTAATGCGCACCTTCTCTCTTCAGCTTTTCCTGGACCTCCTCTCTAGCCAGCACACTCAGTCTCTCATGCTCCTGAAGCCTGGCAAGCTCTCTCTCTCTGGCGCAGCCACCGTCTGTGCCCTAGCCCTGTTGGCCCCCCAGCTGCCTCCAGCCACTCCTCTGTGCTTCACGCCTTGCCTCTCACCAGCCCTTGTTTCTGCAGTTGGCAGTGCTTTGCCTTCTTTGTTGTTGGTGTGATGTCTGTGCTCCTCTGCCCTTCCACTTAGCAGTTCAGGTTTCCCAGATTCTCTGAAAATAAAACCATTGTCCCCATAGCTGAGTTTCATTCCCATCCCAAGGAGTTCACTGTTAAAAATAGGTTGCTCCTCCCACCCTCCACACAACCCCACCCCGTAAACTTACCACCACTGAGCAGGAATCTAAATCCTGGAAGGAGGGCAGGGAGGAGGACAGGTAGAACTGTAAACAATTGTGAGCTGTATTGCGGCAGGGGCTGGCTATGTCAATGGGCCACTGCCTCTCAGCAGAACTAATGCAGAATGTGTTTTGATATGTTTTTTTTTTTTTTTGGTTTTAAGCCTCATTTTATTTTATAATTTTTTTCTCTTTCCCATTGGTTTGGTCTGAAGACAATTTTGTGGGTTTTCTTCCCCGTCCATAACAAAATATCAATGCTGAAATATGGAGAAAAACTCAGAGGGACTTTTGAAGATAATGATGGACTTCTGTGGGTGATCTGATGTTTGCTTAACCTCTACAGGAAAAGATAATCATGTACCATAGATAATGTCTGTATTATACAGTCCCTGTCTTCACAAATGCTAAAGTGCCATGAACACAAAGTGAAGGCTAGCTCCATGTTTTTCCTTTGAGGATACCAGAGATCAGTTCTTTGATGATGAGAAGGGGAAAGCCCTTATACGTATGCAACACCAACAGCAACCACCCTTTGGTTCTGAAATATCACATCTGTGTGCCCCCTGATTATTTCAGACAACTACCCAGGTCTTAAAATGTCAAGGACCTCATTTCTGATGGCAAAGAGCTTTCACGTGCCTCCTAACAGGGCTTTGCGGCTGGGACAGCGACACTCTCACTGCGACATTCAGCTCTGCTTTGTCCCACGTTGTTGACTAACGTCTTTCTGAGAATTCAGCACAATGTTCACTTTGCTACTCTGATAGGTTGGAATTCAAACCTTTACCTGAATGGCAAACTCCATCAAAATCCTTGGCAGACTGGTTGTGGTTGAATACTCTTTATCTTCGTAACTCTGTGACACCTGTAGGAGTGCACCCAACCCCAACAATCGAATGCAAATTCAGTGGGGGAAGAAGGAGCTTCACTTAACCAGGCTGCCATGGTGGCCCCTTTCCTGGAGTATTGAAATATCTTGTGTTTGATCTTGCACTGGTTCAGCAATTCTGGAAGATGAAGTTAGCTTAGAATGTTGCCTCCAATGGTCTGCAATGGGAAACTTTTAGACAGTCTTCCTGGGGCAGGAAAGAGGCTATGTTGGAACAAACTTCAAGCTGAGGGACATCTCATATGTTTTTGTTGTCACTGCTGCTGTTACAGTGGTGGTGGTGGTGGTGGTTTTGTTACTGTTTAGTCATATATTATTAATATGAGGGGTAGTTGAACAACAAATGGAAAATGCCTATTATGAAAAGGCTGCACAAATTTCAAATATTTTGCACTAAAATAAAACAACTGAATTCCGTTTTCTGTGAAAGTCTTGAAGTCCCTTCCTATACTTAGCTGTTTGATATTTCACTTTGATTTGATGATGGCAGTTTGATGCCCTTGTATAGGCATCTAAACCTGTATATGGACTGAAGCCAACAGTTACTGAACATCTTTTATGTTTAGGTACTGGGTCTATAAAATTAATGTAGTATGGTTCCTATCTTTAAAAGGCTTATAATTTATCAGAATCATCTAGAGATTCCTTAAACTAGCTAAAAGAATGTCTCCAGGACTTCTTGAAATTATAAATATTTTAAAAGAAATCTTAGTATACATTTTAACTGGATCATGATCTTTATTTAAGATTAAACATTTTAGAAGTATTCTGTCAAAGCAATATGTAAAATAGTCCAGTTGGAACCTTTTTCCTGAATCTGCCATAAAATTTTCTAATCCTATCACCAGTATCTCCTCAAAACTCTACTACAGATGAGTTGAACTTGACAAGTTAGAAGATTTCACTTCAATTCCATGCAAAGCAAAGGAATAATTGTTCTGTGGTCTGGATGGAGTAATTTCTAAAGCTTCTAAGTATTAGAAAATGTAAAATTGCCCTGGACACTGTTGGTCTCTGGCACCTTCTACACAGAAAAGTGGCAAATAACTGCCTGAATTACTGAAAGGGAGGGAAAAAAATACCACATATAAAATGTGTTCGAGACAGATACACTTAAGGAAGCCCAGTGGGGTTTTTCCCATGTACACTGGGTCCTCACTATAAACACCATGAAATTTCTTGTAGAATTTGTTCTCAAGTCTTTGATATCAGACTCTGCCCTGGCAATCTACTTGTTCAAACCACTCAGAGAGCCTCAACCTAGAGCAGCCTCCCTTCTAAGGCAGGCTGCCTGCTCATGCCTCCAGAACAGCTATAGGATATTGCTCCAGTAGGTTTCCCTTTTGCTTTTTATTGAGGTGGACCTTTCCCCTGTTTCGGGAGAATAAGTCAAGTACTTGGGGAATTCATCTCATCTTTGAAAGCATTATTATGATTTTGGGGGGAGGAAAGGCTGAATCCAGCCAACCCCCAAGGGTATGAGTCAGCACTTGAGTCCTTTGGTATAATAATACAGATAATAACAACAAGTTGATAACATGTAGTTCGTACTTAATGTAGTCCAAGCACATGCTAAGCACTGTCTATCCGTTACCTCCTGTAACCGTCACAAGAACCCATTGACATGGCCACAGCCCTTGCTTTTATGGACAAGGATGGCAGGATTCAGTGTGAAGATGTAGGATTTCAACCCAATTCTCCCCTGACTCTGGACCCTAGCTTGTTAATCACACCACTGTACTGAAGGGCCATCCGTAGGTAGGATACTGCAAACAATTTGAGGGCTTGGGACATCACAGACTCCCTGACATAGGTTAGGCAAAGCCAGAATATTTGGTTTGAAATAAGAACAGCTAGCATCCTAAGCTGATTCTGAAACTCATCGTCTGTACCACATATCCAGGAAACACTGAGTTTCAAACCCCACTCACACAACAGCAGGCAGCGAGATCAGGGACAACCTAGATATTTCAACATAATACATTCCTGTTACTCTACTGCCAGAGTCAGCCAACAAGTAGCAAAATGAATCGAAAGTTTCTTTTCAATTGACTTTAAATATCATTTTGTTTTCCTTGACTATGCAAAATTCTGACAGTGAGTCACACTCTGTCAATGTTCAGACTTCTCATGTCTCTTTGTCATATATACTTTCTTTTGTGTGGTGTGTTATGTACAAGAATACTATAGAAAGTTCATGGAAATGCATATTATGGGAAACATGCATTTCAAAAAATTTTTGCATCAAAATAAGTTTATTTTTGAATTCTATCTTCCACAAACTTTTTTTTAAAGATTTATTTATTTATTTGAAAGGCAGAGTTAGACACAGAGAGAGGTCTTCCATCCACCAGTGCACTCCTCAAATGGCTGTATCAACCAGAGCTGGGCCAGGCTGAAGCCAGGAGCCTCCTCGGGGTCCCCCACGTGGGTGCAGAGGCCCAAACACTTGGGCCATCCTCCACTGCCTTACCAGGCTCATTAGCAGGGTGTGTAGTCAAAGCAGAGTGGCCAGGACTCCAGCTGGCTCCCACATTAGATGCCTGCATCACAGGTGGTGGCTTTACCCGCTGTACCACAATGCCAGCCCTTTCCACAAACCTTTGATGTGCTCTTGTACTACTCCCTCCCCTGCCACCTTCCTTTCCCCCATCTGTATGTGTATTTTTGGGGAAGAGATGAAACAACTTCTGAGAAATTATTTACTTCCAAATTTTAAAGAGTAACAAGAGTGAGAATAATAAATATTTACTTGTAGAGAATAAGCCCCCTGTTTTCCGGACAGAATTGTCTGATATGTCTCCATTGATTAAGTTACTTGTATAAGTTCACACATTTACTTTTCCCTACACAAATACAATGTACACTGGTATCAACTTAAGTAATAACCCCAGTAGAGAGTGAACAGTGGCTAGTCAACAAGTTTCCTTTGTTCCTTCCCTTAATGAATTTCCCAAGACTCTTGAAATTGAGGTAATTTTTAGGTAGGTCAATAGGAAAATACTGAAAGTATACTTTTTAACCTGTTGGTACTAAAATTTCTAGAATAGATTCAACCTGAAGAGGAGGTGACTTTTAGCCTTAGCCCAGGGAGTGGGCCTTTTTCTTAGTAGAGTGAATATTTTCCAAAGCAGTCAACTGTAGGGGTGGTCATTAAGTACTATGTGTTCCCTTCATCCCTATCTCAACTCATTACTTTTTCCCTATGTTGGCACTCTTCAATATTGAAAGTCATGTGCCAATTAATTTGTAATAAAGAATTCTCTGATACTGTTAAATGTGCCATGTGTTTCAACAGAGTTTGTAACACATGAGCCCTTCATCTAAAGATGGTATCTTTCTCATTTTTCATTGGTATAAACTAGTCAATATCCTTTGTTTTGATCTTGATTTTTTTTCCTAATTGCTCAAAGAAATTAATAATTAATAAATAGGGGCTCTTGGCCGGCACCGCGGCTCACTAGGCTAATCCTCCGCCTTGTGGCACCAGCACACCAGGTTCTAGTCCCGGTCAGGGCGCCGGATTCTGTCCCGGTTGCCCCTCTTCCAGGCCAGCTCTCTGCTGTGGCCCAGAAGTGCAGTGGAGGATGGCCCAGGTCCTTGGGCCCTGCACTCGCATGGGAGACCGGGAGAGGCGCCTGGCTCCTGGCTTCAGATCAGCGCGGTGCGCCAGCTGCAGCACGCCAGCCGCAGCGGCCATTGGAGGGTGAACCAATGGCAAAGGAAGACCTTTCTCTCTCTCTCTCACTGTCCACTCTGCCTGTCAAAAATAAAAATAAATAAATAAATAGGGGCTCTTAAGCTCTGTTAGATTGTAGTATCAATTATATACGTAAATCTGCCTGAAACAAAGTCTGAGAGTGAGTTGGTTATATATATATTCAATAAAGAAGATATATTTAAGAAAAGTTCAGTGCAGAGATTGTGGGTAGCTTATCCCAAGACACTTTAAGGCAAACTACCTAATCATACGTTATCAGAGAAAAATGATTTTAGGACATTAACAAACCCCTAATCTTTGCAAATGAGAACACTGAAGACCAAAGAGACTGATTTACTTGCCCATGTATAATTATACAACTGCCTCAAAACAAACCATCCTTCTTTCTACATACTGATTTGATGATCACTGTACTGCTATGAGGCTTTATGACTAGAGGTGCTTACTTTAGACACAAGAAAAGCACTCTGAGTATTTTAGGATGCCAGCATTCTTATCCTTGTTCCTACATATGAAATACCTATGAAATGAACATGAGCAGCATGACCGTCATTCATAACACTGGACAGAGCATGGCGTAGAATATGATGGACAGAGATTTTGGAACCCTGAGTGCCTAGTGGATCCCTCTCTCCTCCCACCTTTAACTAGTGAGTTTGGAGAGGTCATTTACACTATGCATGGAGTTTGAGTTCAAGCTGAAATCCCAGGTCAAAAATCTCAGTTCTGCCACTTGGTAGCTGTACAAACTTGATCTGGTTATTTCACTTATCTGAGCTTCCTTTCATGTATAAAATGAAAATAATATGCACATACTCCAGAGGCCTGTTGTGGAGATTCAGTGAGAAAACCCAAGATAAATTCTGGAGTGTTGTTAGCAATTAGAAGTATAACTGCTAACTATCCTTACCTTATCTACAAAATTAGGAAGTAGATTAGATACTCTCTAAGGCCCTGTCTCATCATCAGTATTTTATATTTAAGTAACTCAAGTTTCTATCTTTCCCTATCATTAATAAGGTATATGAAAAAAAAATTTTGTATGCTATATTCTTATTTTCCCCAAAGTACATACTTTTTTTTCCTATGTGGCTCATTAGGAGTAACACAATGGTCATAACATCAGGGTAGTTGATCAATTTGACCACTAGATGGTGATTGAACTCTTGTGGGCCCTTAGTTGGGAGGTTATTTACACTGACGAATTAGAAGACACAAATCATACAAAAAATGGAACTGTAAAGTTAGAAGAGCATCTAGCCTAATTTGAAGGGATTGATGAAGACATTGGCAGTTGGAGGTAAAATGCATTGAGGTTATACTATAATTTGTGAACTTCAGGAAAGAACAAGGTCTGATTTGATTTTTTTTCCATTTCAGTATAAGAACTATCCAAGAAACACATTTGGTACGGGGTTGCTTGACTCTTCCCCAGAACCATTGTTTTTGTCTCCCATCTTTCTTTGAAAAATTAGTGAAGAAGTTTCAGTAGTCTTCCTGTTCCCTGATCTTCCCTGAACATATAATATAGCTTATATAGTCTTAAAAATTTATTTTCTCTGGTGCTACCCTTTACTTTCACTGATAATAAGGTGTCCCACCTTCAGAAACTAAGAGCTAATAGGGGATCTGCAAACAGTGTTTTCTTATGACCAGAATGCAGTTACCAATATAGCTTATATACCTTCATATTGCCCCAACAGGCTCACATTCAATGTTCCCACTTTCAGGGATATTTAAAACCATCAGGGAATTCATACTAGGTGTGTGACACTGTATCTCCTTGCCATCCCTATCCTTTCTCATGTCATGTGGGTGTGCACAAAATGGTTCTGGTAGATAACATTTCTTTCTTCATCTTTCCCAGTAGTCACTGAACAAAGTGTGACTGCTCCTCAAAACAAAACAATGGCACCCTACTTATAACCTGTTTGCCTGCTGAGTGTTTCTCTGGCAGTCTTCCTTATGAATTCAGAAATTTGTGCTTAATCCCCCATGCACTATTTAAAAGGAATCTATAAGAGACACAGGGAAACTTGAAACTTGTAATCTAGAAGGACCCTTCAAGGTGACCATCTTGGGACAGGCATGCACTGGAGACACTGCCTAAGGGGCCTGTGTCCCACATTGCAGTGCCTGGCTTCAATTCCTGGCCTTGGCCCCACCTCCTAACTCCATCTTTCTGTTGGTACAGATGCTGGGAGGCAGCAGTGAAGGCTCAGATAATGGAGTCTCTGCTACCCAAGTGAGAGATCTCAGTTGAATTCCCAGTTCCTGGCTTTATCCTGACCCAGCCCAGGCCATTGCAGACATTTGGGGAGTGAACCAGTAGGAGTGCTCACTTGCTCTCGCTTGCGCTCTCTCTCTCTCTCTCTCTCCACCCACCTCTCTCCCCCCTCCTTCTCTCTATCTGTCTCTCCTCTCCCTCCCCCCTCCTTTCCTCTCTTCCCTCCCTCCTTCTCTCTCTCTCCTCTCCCTCCCCCCTCCTTTCCTCTCTTCCCTCCTTCCTTCTCTCTCTCTCTCTCCTCTCTCTCTCTCTGTTTTGTTGTGTCTATCTCTCTGTGTGTCTCTTTCTGTGCTGTTCAAATAATAAAAAAATGTTAAAAATGATGATGAAAATGTCTTCCTCAGATAAATGGAACAGAGCTAGTGACAGGATCAGACTAGAATCTACATCCTTCAACATCTGTGTTCTGAACACAGACTCTACCGCTAGTTCTTGCTCACACAGCTTGGGAACCCACTAATGTCAGGGCCAGGTGCTGATTCAGTGCAAGATGAAACCATGGTATACTGGAAGATCAACTAAGCTTTGTGGGTCTATGTAAAATGCTTGGGACTGTTTTTGTCCTTGATGCATGGGTTTTGATATCTATGGGATGGCCAGCTGGGATGGCTTATATGATTCTGACTGCAAGTAATTTTGCCTAACAATGTTTCTGATATCGTTAGATCAAAAATAAACTGCAAGAAACAGGTATATTTTAATTATCTGGGTCTACTTAAGGTATGCTGATATAATGTGTGAAATTAATATCTTTGTTGATGGAAAAGATTTTACCCAATTAAAGGATAAAGGGCTGGAATTTGATCTCAATTTGTTACTTTGAGCTGACCAACTAAAAGTTTACTCTTCGTCAGTGTGGTTTCCCACAACTCCTCATTTGGTGTTGGGTTAATGACCCGTGCATACTGCAGAAGGCTGGCAGCTCCTTTGCCAGACTGGGTTGTGTCTAGCCCTGTAGCTTTCAGGAAGATGGAGAAGCAAAAAGCAGCATTTGCCCAATGTTTGAGTTATTTGAATTATTTATGTCAATTCTTCTCCCAGGTCCACAAAAGGTGGCTCCGATTCCTCCCTTTCTGAACCCCAGCCAGCTCGGTCCAGCCGAGCCTTCTTGTTCCGAGTCCTCCGGGCGGCTCTTCCCCTTCAGCTTCTGCTGCTGCTCCTCATCGGGCTCGCCTGCCTCGTACCAATGTCAGAGGAAGACTATAGCTGTGCCCTCTCCAACAATTTTGCCCGATCATTCCACCCCATGCTCAGATATACCAATGGCCCTCCTCCACTCTGAACCAAGCAGATCTCATTGGCAAAAATGCTGGAAGCACAAGAAGGATGGAGCCAAAAGCATCCCAAACTACCAAAATGAGGACTTGAATCTTGGCAGGAGCCAGTGGTGTGCCGGCTTTGGCCATCCTCCGTGTCTCACATGTGCAAGTCATGGCTTCAGAGGTGGATGATAAGCAGTGCAGGAGAGCAAACAGACCAGAGAAGGTTTGGAAGAAATTTTGTTGGAGACTCTGAGCCTTAGCACAGAGGAGATTGAACGAGGACTTTCAAAGTTCCCTGGAATTGGGAATTCTGGACCTCTGGCCCATTCTATGCATAACCAAGGACTTCAGTAGACCATCTGGGCAGCGTTCCCATGGTGCTGCTCCATCCATCCAATAAACCGCCCACCCAGGCGCCATGTCAGTATCGTACAATCTACCAACCAACCAGTGCTCAAGAGATTTTAGTACATTGTAACATACAATTTTTAAGAGCTTATATGGCAGCTTTCCTTTTTGGCATGATGTTCTAACCTTTGCTTTAGAAGCACAAGCTGTAAATCTAAAATGCACTTTTTTAAAGATATAAAGAAAAACTAGATGTAATAAATATATAATGGAAGGCTTTATTGTGGAAAAAAGAATGTTATAGTAAAAAAAGATATTTATGTATGTACAGTTTGCTAAAGCCAAGTTTTGTTTGTATTGATTACTTTGCATTTATTATAGATACAGTAAAATATACTGTCCTGGATTTCTTTTTCCTCTAAAAATGGGTTGAAAGTCATTGTGAAGCAGGCAGTGATCATAATGCAACTACACAACTACAGTGATCGTGTGTGTGTGTATCTGTGTAATGAATGAAGCAGGATGTAAGTGTGTATTCAGGAGACAGGATAGATAAGGGAAGTGCACATTTAAACAGAAAGTCCCAGATGATTCATTTTTCCTCTTCCCTCCACAAACAGATCTCATGAATTCCTGCTTCTTGGCCTCTTTCATATTCTCCTCTGAAAGTGCTCCCTGGGGTCTCCTGTCTGCAGCGCTTCTCCATTCCATCCCAAGGGAATACGACAGCCTCGTAAACTTTCTTTAAGCATTCTCTTGTCCAGATGCATTCTTTTGTGCAAAGCTTTCCATTGTATTCATTGCCTACATGTATACAATTTTAGTCTTTCAAGTCCCGTCAATACAATTTTACTCTGCCCTTCTAATTTTGCTGATAAGAGGCCCTCATGAAATTATTTCATGCTCTTGGATTGTAATCCATCATTAAATAAGTTAGGGGGTATAGGAAACCCAGGTTTCTGGCTTCTCTTGAAAATTGAAAGCTCTGGTGCCCTGAAAACATCCCCACGTCAGCCATTGCTATCCTTTTTGAGAGTTGGAGGAGACAGGTTTTCCATTTGCGGTTATTGCCCATCAACTTCTCTCAGTTCCTGCACCAGCCTAAGCACAGTAGGTGTTTGAGTTTACAATTCCTGCTGTATGTTAAGTGTCTAAACCAATCTGAGATACTTGAAATTTCCTGAAACTGTCTTCCATGGTTTCCTGACACACATGGGCTGAGTATCATCTCAGGGTCCCTGGGGCTGGTGAAGCCTTCTGATCTCTGGGATCACTTCAGACCTTGCCCTTCGTTCTCCTGAAGCAGGACCTGGAAGCTTACATTTCAAATACATACCTGAAATAACTATTGAAACACACTGTCTTACCCTTTCTTGAGTCCATGATTTTGTTCCCATCATTCCTCTCTCTTCGCACACATGCCCTCTCCCTTGAAGAAATCCTGGACCCCCATTAGACAGTGTGTAGGATGTCTTTCTACTGAGCTTTCCTCTGGTGCTACTCCTGTCATGTGTGTTTGACTTTTCCGCCAGGTCACTCCCACTTTACTTCACTTTAGCCCACTCAGGGAGCAGGAATAATGCTGGTTTTATACGGAACACACCCTGTGCTTAAAGCATCCCATCCTTCCTCTGGAGAGGCTGGGGCGGTGTGGCATGGGAGAGGTCGATGCCTACACTGGCATCTAAGGTCCTTTCCAGACCTCACTCCTCCATCACTTCCCAGAACTCCTGCTTCTAACTCTTGAAATTAGAGGGGTTTCTTGCAGAGAGAGCCAACCCCTCTGGAACAGCATGGAACCTCCCACTCAGTGAGGCTGTAGGCCCAGGAAAAGCAAGCACAAAGACACAGCAGAAGATTTTCCTTCCCACAGGCTACAGTTACCTGACTTCCTCAGCACCTGCTCATCACTGAAGACTCAAATGTTAAATGTTTCTGTGAAAAAAAAAAGCTAATTTTGATTAGTAAAAAAACTTATAGTACAGTCTCATCTCTACATTTCTAAAACTCTGAGACACTCAAAATGGTATATAATGTGCATTTCCACTAAACTTTGAAGAGTTAAACAGAATGTTGGAAAGAATTAGGTGATGCAGCCAAGTATGAGTATTGAAGTGATGAGATCATAGCTTTCCTCATAAGACAACTCGACTAGCTAGGCAACGACCAAGCCAGCAGCCGATGAGACCAGGACCAGAGTCTTCCCAATTTCAAGAACCAGGGGCACCCTCACCGGCACCCTGCAGCTACCCTGGAAGTGGAGAGAGAGGATGTATTCTTCAAGGCCTTCTTGGAAGGGTTGGGGGCTTTTAGTGCATATTGAGGGTGTAAAAGGACCTGATCGCTGTTGAGGAGGCTCCTTTTCTGTGGTAAGGACTCTCAGGAGACCTGGTGTGGCCTGGACAGAAGCAATGAAGTTCTGTGTGAGTGGTGGGTGTGGAAGGACATGGACAAAGATACCATTAACCAACCAGGAAGGGTGAGAAGAGATTTAGTAATATCTTGGGTATGAGAATTGCACAGGCAAACAGGAAATGTTAGAAAAATTGATCATAAAGTAAAGCTGGATAAATAGTGAGAAACTAAAACTAGTGACTTATATAAGAAATCCAGGGAGGAATGAAAGACTTTGGAGGAAATTTCCCAGTTGTTCCCTAGGAAATGGGGTGGCAGAGGCTCTCCTTGTTTTTCTAAGAAGTAAAAAGAGATGGTGACAAAAGGCCCAAATAGGAAATTCAGCAAGATGTGGGTTGTAGTTCACTGTAAAAAGGCATATCAGTGCTGACTGATTTATAACCTACTCTCTGAGGCCAAATATTAAGAAATTATAGCTATAAAATTTTATTTATTGGAAAGCCATATAAGATATTGTAAAGCTAAAAATAATGGAGCAATGATGGCCAGATAAGGAGGGCCTCCATGGTGCTGATCTACATCTGCCTGAGCTCAATCAACATTTGGGTTCTTAGCTCTGTGCCCATGAGTCTGTCATCACTACCACCAAACTCCCATAGGGAATAGTGAAGCAATTAAAGTGGTCTCAGTGTTTACCATAGATCCAAAAATGACCAGGGCAAGTATTTCTGGACCAACTTGGCATCTACTCACTTCCCAAGTATTTATGGAATGCCTACTGTATGGTGGGAATGGCTCCAAGCTCCCTTGCAAGTCAAGTCTCAGCTAAGACCTCGCAACTTCTTATTTACTAATTAAGAGAAGGCACTGGGCCTTTACCATAAATATGAATGTGTGTCTTCCTCCACCGGGATGTCATGAATCTTGAGATCATGGCTCAAAAAAGACAAAAAGCCATCTCATTTAGGGGTAGAAAATGAGATTATTAGTAGGTCCCTATTTTAGGGCAGGAAATTTCCTTCTAAGTTCTTCATTACCTGGTTTATGTGATAGTGGATATTTTAAAGAGCATAACTGTCCATCCATTCAAATGGTAGCAGAGTAAAATCAGAGCAATTTACAGGCCTGGAAACATTTTTCCACTTGACTGTGGGAAGTGCTAAGATAATTTTGACTATGAGAGGAGGCATTTTTCTGAGCATTGTCATTTCAGTTGTAGATGTGACAACACATTGTGATCATTGAGCTGATCATTACCTGGAGGTAATGAACTGAGGAAGGATAACTTTTATTCTGTTGCTCCTGGCTTCTCTCAAACCTTGCCCTCAAAGGTATAAAATATTTGCTAGGAATCCATGGGGGCTACAGCACAAAGACCTGCATTTGTAGGAGAACTCAAGTTCAGAGGAATAAGCCAAAGAAGATTGCAAGCCTGGGGCATGTCCTACAACCTCTGTCAAACAGCCCCCTGTGGTATTTACCTAAGGCAAGTTGAAGGTTAGGAGTGGCTAATGCAAAGCCAGAGCAATTTACTGTCCACAAGGTGATCAACAAGGAAAGTTGAGTCTGAGAACTGAGGTTGGTATTTGGATGCCATCTTTCTTAAAACTGAAAGTCTGGGGAAAAAAGACTCAGCCTTACAAATGTTTCCACCTCCTCTTCCCTTGTTCTCCCAACCCTACCCCCTACCCAAAGGTATGGGAATGTAACTGAGTTTGAAAGCTGCAATAACATCAGGAGAGTGGGGACATTTGTAAGCTGAGCTACAGATGGTTGCACTTGGCGCTATAGGTGGCTGAGAAGAAATCTAGATGTCCCTGCTGAATTTAACTTCAGTGCCTTGCAGGTATGCCATCTGGGCCATTCTAAATCCTGCTGAACACATCTGCAGCTGGTGGTTGAACTCAAAAGCAAAGTTGCCAAGCAGCAGACAATAACAATGGACAGCAGTCCCCATCAGCTACCCCCAACCCTAAGCCACATTTTTTGGCAGGAGCCCAGAACAGCCCACCTCCCATGCTCTGTTCCGCACCTCTCATGGGAGTTGCAGGTTGACTGGAAACTTAGGCATGCAAGAGACTGGTGCCTTCCAAAGTGGGTTCTAGATCAGTAGCATCAGCATCACCTGGAAACTTGTTAAGACTGTACCACATTCAGCTTCTAGGCCACCATACACCCCATATGCGCACATCTTAGGGCCCTTTAACTTTTTTCCAGCTGGCCACCATGACAAAGTGTCTAAGTAAGTTTTCCCATACCCCCCTATAGCTTCATAAAACAATAAATTTCCATATGAATCTGGATTTTTAATCTGAACTCTTCTATGCCATTGACCTCTTTGGCTATCACTACTTTATGTAAGTGAACAGTATAACTGATTATGATGTGTATATGAATATTTGTATAATATTTCAGTATAGTTAAATATATAATGCAAACATATAATGTACATATGTATTATTACTACTGATTTTCATTTGCCACAATATGGATGAACCTGGGGAGCATTATACTCAGTGAAATAAACCAGTATCTTTTTTCAACAGTTGTTTTCTTCCAGCTGTTTGATGTACACCGATGCTACAGTGAACACTTTTGCATGTGTGTGCATGTGCACATTTTTGTACTACTGATCTTATTTCTCTAAGATGCATTGTTCAAGGTGGCATCACTGAATCAAAAGGTATGTACATTCTATCTTTGAATGCATTTTAATAAACTCTGCTGGACTATTTCTTGAAAAAGTTGTGATGATTAGCATTCCCACTCACAGTGGGGATGAAAACTTCCTTTTAAAAATTCCTTCCCTTGGTTCAAATTAGGGGAATTATGGCCAGATTATTACTGTTCAAATTCTGCACATTAGAATCTCTTAAAGAACTTTTAAAAATTCAGAATCCAAGACCATTCTGAATTAAATCCTGGTCTTTGGAGAGCAGTGGTTTTCACTCCCCAGGCTATTTCCATGTGCAGACGGCTTTGGGAAGGGCAGGACTGGATGTTATCAGTTTTCTAAAGTACTGCCCATTTGAGGCTAACAGTAGCTCTTGGTTGTAAAATTTGCCCCTCTGTGACTAGTTTATATGATAATTATCCTGTTTGTAATATCTCTTCAGGAAGGTCAGTTTTATCCTCTGAAGATTTTTTTTTAACATTTTCATGTGAAAGAAGCTTTTTGTATATGAGAAAAATTAGCCACCTGTATTATTTGATTTTAATATCTTCTTTAGTTACATGGAAAAGCTTTAATGTTTCATCATCAACTTTTAAAGGTTGTTTTGTTGGTTGTGGATGGTCTATACTATAAAGGCCTTTTTCTGATCCAAGATTATGCAAATGATTGTTGTATTTTCTTTTAATAATCTATATAGAACCACTTTTGTATTTGATATGAAGTAAGGAACTCCTTTGTCATTTTCCAAATGAATAGACAAAGGTCTCAAAACTGATCAGGAGTAACACAGAGATGCCACCTGTTATGAGTATTACCAATTTTTAGCAACCTGGATGTCAGCCAGTACAGAGCTTGTTAAATAAATTATAGTGCACACATAGTATTTACTATGATGAGACTATTTTTTTAAATTAGATTAACCTGTATGTGGATTAAGGAAGATATCTTCTATATATTCTTAAATTTAAAAAAAAGATATAGGATAATATACATGTAATATTTTTTGAGATTTATTTGCAAGAGTTACAAAAAAAGGAGACACAGAGAAAGAGATCTTTCACCTGCTGGTTCGCTTTACAATTGCCACAACAGTCAGATCTGGCCAGGCTGGAGCCAGGAACTCTATCGTGGTCTCCCACACTGGTAGTAGGAGCCCAAGCAATTATTTTGCTGCCTTCCTAGGCACATTAGCAGGGAGCTGGATCAGAAGCAGGGCAGCTGGAACTTGAGCTGGTGCTCAGATATTGGATGCTGATGTCACAGGTGGCTGCTTAACTCACTGTGCCACAACACCAGTCCCAATATGATCAATTTTTATAGAAAAAAACTATGCGTATCTATTAATTGTATGAGGCAAGAAAAAACTTTGGGGAGAGACAGAAGAAATACAAGGCTTGACATTGTGTCTGGAATTATAAAGAGAGAAACCATTTTAAGCATTTTTTGCTGCTTAAATTTTGACAGGGAGCATGACTTTTTTTTTATCCAAATTGATACAATAATGATAATTTGAAAAGACAAAGTCTTGAAAAAGACTTGTCCTCTTGTATGAAGAGACAACATGTGCTTTGCTTTTTAATTTTTAAAGACAGTTTTTAATATGTCCAAAATAATGACAGGTTTCTAGTTATAAAAGTAGCAGAATCTTAATGATGAGTCATCTCTGAGTGTTAATTTTGACTGCTTGGCTCCAGGATGCAAGAACAAAGGGGTTCAGGCCGTGGTCTGGGATAAGGAGGCTCCCTACCCAGGAGACTCGCTAATTCACAGGAGAAAGTCTTCCCTGAGATGTTCAAATGACAGTCATTTGTTCAGGCAAAGTTCCAGCTTCCTAATATAGCATTGGCCTCAGAAGTCACCCTGCTTGCAGGTGAAGTCAGGCCACCAGAGGCAGCTGATCCCCAGAAGTGACAGGGGTTGGGAGGGGACAGGACTATGGTCAGCTGCTGGAAGTCACAGGTGGTTTGGGCTTGTGTCTGTGCATTTCTTCCCTGCTACAGGTGTCAGACATGCATTCTGCTTGCCTTTTGGCTTGAATCTGCGCCTACTCATTAATGTCCTATGAGACTCCACCTCGTGCAAGCCTGGCTTTGGCATGTGGTTCAGTGTCCCAACCTCACCTCACCTGTGGTATCTACTCACCAAAATGCAAAAATTGATTAAGGGAACCAGCAATCTGGACTTTTATACCAATTATTTTGGCTCAAGTCTTAAATAGGCTCTACCTGTAGCAGAGATTTTGCAGCCAAAATACTTGGACTCAAACCCCAGCTTGGCCAATTACTGGCTGTTTATAACCTGAGCAAGTTATTTACCATATCAGTTCCTCAATTTCCTTCTCTGTCAAATGGGATAATAAATAGTACCTACCATATGGAATTTTTATGAGGACTAAACACATGAATATATGCAAGTATTGAAATAGTACAAGACAAGCACTAAAAGACAGCTATGCTGTCTTATGACTATTTCCTCTAGTTGCAAATTGATTTCTGAACTGGATACTGATAAGAGTTTACCAGACCCTCCCATGTTGTTTTTATTATTTTTAACCATTTTTTTAAGATTTTTATTTATTTGAAAGGCAGAGTTACAGAGAGGCAGAGGAGAGAGAGGGAGGGAGAGAGAGGGAGAGAGGGAGGGAAGGAGAGGGAGGGAGAAGGGGGGAGAGAGGAAGAAAGAGGGAGAGAGAGAGAGAGAGAGAGGTTTTCCATCTGCTGGTTCACTCCCCAATGGTTGCAACTGCCAGAGCTGGGCCAATCAGAAACCAGGACTCTGGAGCTTCTTCCAGGTCTCCACAAGGATGCAGGGGCCTAAGGAGTTGGGCCATATTCTGCTGCTTTCCCAGGCACATTAGCAGAGAGCTGGATCAGAAGTGGAACATCCATGATTTGAACTGGCACCCTTATGGGATGCTGTCACTGCGGGTGGCAGCCTTACCATCTATGCCACAGCACCACCCCCTAATTTTTTTTAACCATTTTGGGAAAAGGAAACTGTCTCAAAATTTTTTTTTCTTTTTCTACATTTTCAATTGTGGGTAAAAAAAAATGATGTGGGATTTGCCCTCTTCAGATTTTTTTCTGGTACTTTAAAGGGTACTTTAAAAAGTTCATGGAAAATGGTATTGAAAGATACATATAAGTTTATACAAATATTTTTTAAATCTTTGCATAGTTTTTTCTAAATATTTATTTTACTTATTTGAAACCCAGAGTTGCAGAGAGAGAGGTCTTCCATCCAATGGTTCACTCCCCAGGTGGCCACAATGGCTGGAGCTGTGACAATCTGAAGCCAGGAGCCAGAAGCCTCTTCCAGGATTCCCACGTGGGGGCAGGGGCCCAAGGACTTGGGCCATCTTCTGCTTTCCCAGGCCACAGCAGAGAGCCGGATCAGAAGAGGAGCAGCTGGGACTAGAACCGGTGCCCAAATGGGATGCTGGCACTTCAGGCCAGGTCTTTAACCTGCTGTGCCACAAGGCCAGCCCCATAATACATATTTCTATGAACTTTTTGAAGACCCCCCATGTGCGTTAGTTTCAATTGTTTGCACAAAGATAAACTTATCTTTTCATTTCTAAATGTTATTTTAAACTAACCTAAACATTTTACATATTTATAGGATAACTGTATGATGTTTCTATACATGTATGCACCACATAATATCTAATCATGGTAAACATACTTATTACAGCAAACATTTAACATTTCCTTGTGGAGACACATTTGAAATCTTATAATTTTTAGAGAAATATACAGTACATTATCATTATCTAAAGCCATCCTATTGTACAATAGAACAAATTTTTACTCCTCTGTAACTTGGACTTAGTACCTTTTACTCAGTCTTTCCTCATCTCTCCCCCTATAGGCCCCAGCCACTGATAACCACCATTATACTCCTAATTTCTATTTTCTAAACTTTTTTAGATTCCACATATGATATATATTCAATACTTAATCTTTCTGTGCTTGCCTTATTTCGTTTAACAAAATGACCTCTACCTGCACTGATGTTGCAACTGACAAGAGTCCATCCTGTATATGGCTGAATGAAAGTTTATTGTGTATATGTACCACATTTATCTGTGCATCAGTTGATGATCATTTAGGTTTATCCCATTTCCTGACTTGTGCATATTGGTGCGATAAACTGGAGAGTGTAGTTGTTTCTACAGTTCATCTCCCATGTATGCATACTCCATAATGTGACTTCTAGATCATATTCTGGAACTGTTTTTACTTTTCTGAGGAACTTCCATACTGTTTCCCACAGTGGCTGTACTAATTTACATTCCCACCAACAATATGCAAGGGATCCCTTTTTGCCACAACCTTGCCAGTGCTCATCCTTTATTGTTTGATAATAACCAATCTGATGAGTGAGGTGATATCTTGTGGTTTTCATTTGTATTTCCTTAATGACAAGCGATGTTGTGCATCTTTTGATGTACCTGTTGTGCATTTGTTATTGAGAAAAAAATGGATAAATTGGACCATTTTTAAATTGAATTTTTTTGGCTATTGAATTTGACTTCCTCATAGGTTCTGGTTATTAACCTTTTGTCCTATGAAAACTTGGAGATTTTCTCCTATTATGTAGATGGTTCGCTTTCACTCTGCAGAAGCTCTTGGTTTGATGAAAATCCATTTGTCTATTTTATTTTTGTTTCCTGTACTATTGGGGTCTGACACACAAAATCCAAGTTCATGCCAATGTCCTGAAGCAGCTCCTCTGTTTTCCTCTAGTCATTCCCAGTTTCAGATCTTACATTTCTATCTTTATTCTAATTTGAATTGATGTTTATTCATGTTGAGAGACAGGGGTATAATTACATTCTTCTGCGTATGGGTAGCCAGTTTTCCCAGCACCGTTTATTGAAAGGACTGTTCTTTTTCAGTGTGTGTTCCTAGCACCTTTGTCAATGATCAGCTGGATATAGATAAGTGAGTTCACTTCTAGAGTCTCTATTCTGTTACATTGGTCTGTGTGTCTGTTTTTATGTCAATACCATACTGTTTTAACCACTGAGACTTTGTAATGTATTTTATTATTATTTTTTGTTGTTTT